TGCCCCCTGCCCAACGTTTCGCGCCATCCCCGACATGGCGACAATACCGTAGAATTTCCTGCAACAAAGCCGATCGATCTGGTCTGCATGCGGAAAACTGTCGGTTTTACAATTTCGCTGCATATTCTGCACGTCATGTCGTGCCAAAAAACATATACCAGTCTTCTATGATACGGTCTTTTAGAGTTTATAATTTTAGACTGCCCAACGTTTCGCGTCATCCCCGACATGGCGACAATACCGTAGAATTTCCTGCAACAAAGCCGATCGATCTGGTCTGCATGCGGAAAACTGTCGGTTTTATAATTTCGTTGCATATTCTGCACGCCATGTCGTGCGAAAAAACATATATTAGATTTCTACGATAATCTTTTAGAGTTTGTATTTTCCAACGCGTTTTCTGGGTCGTCGCGGGTCAAGCGAAGGAAAGCACGGGAAGTCCTTCTGGACTTGGCGCCAGGACATTGGCACTATCCAGGAAGAAGAGAGGAAGGAGAGGACATTACCTATGGAATGATAATTTGACGGGAGCCCTCGAAGCTTGTAATTTCGAAGGATCCAAACCGAGTCCCGAGGCGGTCGTCTTGCCGGTGGTAGCGGCCACGGTAGGAAGACTTCTGGCCGGCCCAGATCTTCCCCTCCTTTCCGCTCTGCCGCCAAAGAGGGAAACGCTCCAGGCCAGTAGTACGGATAATTATCGTTTTTTCATCTCTCGTGCTCTTTTCTTTTATGCAACTTTTACTACTTGTACGCGGACCTGCCCTTCGTTCGTACCCTCGACCCTGGTTTACGGGTTTCATTCTTCAAAGGCTCGAAAACCTGAATGGAAGCCGGTGGAAGGAAACTAATAGCCAAGAACTGCGACGCATCCTTTCTTAAGCGGAAGAGATAAAGTTTGAAGAAATAATTGAGTCAAAAATTTGGAAGGTAAAGGTCGAAGCACGTAGATTGGCCAAGAAAAATGCCGGTGAAATGGCATACCTATGCGGTTATAAATGAAGTGCGCACGTCTTAACCCAAAAAATCAACTCGAACGATACCGTTTTATTTATTGTTTTCTCGTTATTTAATATTTCTATTAAACTTTTCCTCTATTTGCGGTGGCCCCCCCATGGGTGGATTCACGGTAGAAGGACGTCTGACCAATCCGGACCTTCTTCTCCTTACGTCTCGCCGCTAAACTGAAAAACGCTTTGAGCTCAAAGTACGGACAATTATAAATGTTCCCTTCTTCCCTTTTCGGTTGTTTTACAACTGCTATCCAGCTTTGCCCTTCTCATCTGGTTTTTATGCGTAACGTCCTGGTTTCATTCTTCAAAGGTCACAAAAGTTGAATGAAAACGAGTGAATAGAAAAGAGCGGTCTTGCACTCTTTCAAGAGAAAGTAAGAACGGATAATTGAACATCCGCGATGATTCGAGTTATCGATTCAACATAGTTTGTCTTTTTCTTCTTGAAACGCTCCGCGCGTTTATTCCTTTAAACGTCAATAGTCGCATGGCCACTTACAGGGTCTCTTACGGCGCGGAATTAGTTCGTATCATGATTTTAAACGGTATATTTCTAGAAAAATGGAAAAGAACAGAAAAGGCAGCCACTGTTGGTAAAAAAGCGTCAAAACACGATCCGTAACCATTAATTATCTACATTCCTTTCCTTCGCCCTCCACATCGAATCCATTTACCGCGCCTTCCCGTTCCTTTCTACTTCTAGAAAAGGACGTTCGTCCAAAGTAGCTCCAAGCGCGAAAGGGTTAAATTTCCCCTCGAACCGGACCTTCCTCCAACGAGGGAGCGATGTTTTCTCGCGTAATCGCGAGACCGTATTATTTCTTGGGGAGGAAAAATTGGAGGGAAATGCAGAAGGAAGAGATCGCCCGGGGATGGTCCCGGAGCAATCCTGCCCGGAGGACGAACACCTCGCCAGTGGTAGCACCCACGGTAGTGCAATTTCTACTCGGTTCTTCCCCTCTTTTTTCTCGCCCCTCTCTTCCTCGAGCCCTTCCTCTCCCTCTCTCGTTCCTCTTTCTCCTCTTCGGCGAGTTTCTCATTTCGTCCTCCGCCAAACCAAAGCTAAGGCAAACCAAACCGAACGAAACGAAACGAAACGAAACGTTCTCGGTTCTCTTATTCGCTCTTCGCTCCTCCTCCTCCACCTCCGCCTCCTCCAGCTTCTCCTGCCGGCTTCGCCCGTGTATAACAGGGACTCCGTCTCTTTCTAATTCTATCTCGGGGATTCCCGGTCTCTCTCGCTCGAACAACCTATCAACTCGGAGGGTAGACGTCGGCTCCGGACGGCCGTTCTCTCATCCCATCGACCCGAGCTCTTGCACCGATAGGGCCGCGAGTCTGCCCTCTGTGCCGGTGCTACCAACACGAGCCGACCGCACCCTCTATGAGGTGTCCCCGAAGTCCGGAGCTTTTCCGTTCCCCTCGAGTCGCGAAACATTTATCCCGCGAAAAAGCTCTGGGTCGCGATGCGTTTTCGCGAGAAAAAAAATAGAATCGCGATCAGCGTTGGGTAATTCCCCCATTTTTTCAGCTTTTTCACGCATATTACGTAAACAAAGTAGTTTACCGGAGAAAATTGTAGAAAACCAGTAAATTACGTTTCCAATATGAAGAATACTCGACCAAGTCAAAATGTAATAAATTCCGAAACAACGAACACAAACTCCTTTGGAGCATTCAATTGGCCAAAATTGAGCGGAGCGCAAGCAGTTGTCCGCAAAAGTAGATTCGAAGTGCAAAATGGATTATAATGGGTATCTCGAAGGGACAGACGAACGGATGTACATACTTTGGGGTAGGGTTTATTGCATTAGTTCTGGAAATGCTATTCGCATTGGGGTGATAAACTTCGTCGAGGGCAAAAGAATTCTCAGCATTTTCGATTTTATCTTGCGACTACGCAGACAAGGGTGAACTCCCTGCAATGGAATTAATGACTGCTAAATGCGTTGTTTTTTCATACAAGGGATTCTAAACGTACTTCAAATTAGTGCAAGTCTACCAGAATAGTATATTGTGTATGAAGGGAAGGAGGACGGCGATCACACGAGTCAAAATAATCCATCGCCTGTGACACGCGCGATACTTTTTGTCCAATTCCTTTTGTAAACAAATGCACAGCGTTTTTTTATTCGCCTGCTCGCTTAACTGGCCTAAAAACGTCTTACGCCTGCTTTGCGTGCGACAAAAGCGGGTTTTCAATGGGAATTAGGTGAAAATTACTTTCCAGCATTTTGTGATAAACGTAGAGATATTGTCTTTTTCGGTACAACACAAAAAACTGCTACTAAAAGGCTCCACGTGTATAAAAGCCTAACCCAGTAAGTGATATACGATAACGTAAGATTTAGTATTTCTAGCTTCTGGTAGCGATTTACAACTTTAACCGTTTTTATTATTTCTTCCGATATCCATCTCTCAGGCTAGATAGGCAATTACGTGGCTAACTTGTTTTCCGCAATTGGTTCCGCAGCAGTGGCAGGTGTAACACGCCTACGTTAACGTAAAGTAGCGGTAAAATCGACAAAAACTGCTACCGAGGATGGGCCATCGATGAAAAGCCCTAATCAATCGAGACAGGTGTTTCGTTTCAATATCGCCAGGGGCCAACTGTAACAGCAGAACTGCTTTCCTGGACGATTAATCGATGATCGAGAGCACGCGATTTCTGTCTGCAGCCCTTCTACGTGTCAAGGGGATATGATGTACGTGGGAAAAAAATATTTAATTCATTGCTCGCATTTACCTAAATTATACGGAAAAAAGACGTCGATGTAGCCCCCCTATAGTTATGAACACCCGGACGAAATCTCACCCGTCGTATCACGCCTCTTGTTAACGAGCCCTCATAAATTCGTATCGACCAGAAAATGTTGAGACAAAATCTGGTGCTAAAATTACCGCGAGAATGATTCTGTGAATATATATAAGAATAATTGCCTGGGTCAAGTAAATATTTAATATATAGATATGAATTCGAGTGAAATTCATTTCGACGATCACGACACCTTTACTTAATTGAAAATGTTCGCCCGGTGAACTGAGTACTGACTCATCGAAAAATGAAGCGGCGCTTTCTAAGGAGGAACAAATTACTAACATATATGACTAAAGAATGTCTAAAGTTACTAATTCGAAGATACCTATTCGAACCCAGCGGCATTTGTCCCGCACTTGCCAATACTTCTATCAAGACGACAAAATAGCAAGCAAATCCTAGAGCGTCCCCCAAGAATTTCGTTTCTCTTGTTGACTTTCACCACCCTCTTGCCATTTCACCCCAGCCCCAAAAAGGATCAGCAGGAATTCAAGGCTTTCCTTTTGAGCGCATGCGAATGCGCTCGGAAAGAAGGAAATCTTTGATAAGGGAGTATATACGCCTCGATAGCCTGTACTTACAACGAGTGCCTACCGCGAAACACGTGTCACCGGGGCAATCAATCGGGCGTGACGATCTCGATCGGTAAACTACCAACTTATCGCCAATCTCGTTATAGCACCTGCGAAACCATAGGTCATTCACGGAGGAGGCATCCTACTCGCTGAGACTCGTACGCCATTTTAAACGCAAGTGCGTATCGATATTCGCGCGTTCGTATGTATGCGCGTCCGCCCCGAAGGACTTGATGGAGCACCGGGTGTATCTTCGCGTTTGATCTCGCCGCGATGTCCGTTTACCCTCTGAATAATTAAGCGTACTTCGGCCAAGTCGCGCTACGGACTCACCCTGTATATAGATCCTTCCCGGTGCGCGTTATCGCCCGCATTCTGTTATCGCGATCCCCACTTAGAGGCCTCCTTCCCGCCAACTCCCAAGTGCTATCGCGAGCCACTTCTGCAAGTTATCAATGTTATCACGTGGGCCCCGCCTCCCAAGCGAAGTTAACTGCGAGTTAGCTTCGCCATTTTTCCTCCGGGATTTTGCAATTAATTCGGAAAAGTAATTAGTACTCAAATTCGTGACAATGAACGGTACGATTGAAGAGTGTGAAATCGATTTATTATATACTTTCCTTTGGATGTTCTATATAGCGGAAGTTGCGGCACGTAAACATAATCTTATATAGAGCGATACAGGATTTAAAGTTACCGAATATTTGAACATTTTCAATAATGTTTATTGAATACTATAATAGTATTACCAACATTATATAAAATTCATAAAACAACAACGTAACCGTGCAAATATATGCCAGGCAATTTCTTTGGTTATCAAAGCTTTCACGTACCGTATAATTTTTACTATAACGAACGAAATGTTTGAACATTTTCACTATTTAAGTAGCTTATGTGGATGATACCCTGTCCATTGTCTGAAAGTAAGATTCATGACTTCTTCTACGCCTAAGTCAATTGGGTGAATAATAACAGGTATTGAAATAAGACCAGCAGCTGTGGAAATCCATGGACTTCTCAAGACGCTGCTTTTACTTCTGTGCAAAGCATATCGTACGCTAGCGCATAGTCTGTTAATAGTTATCCCTGGAATAATAACGGATGCGAAACTCTGCCACAAAAGTGTATCCGACATTGACAAAAATACTCGTTTATTCCTGCCCTCCTCCGAATCATGCTAAAATAAGATTATAAATACATCTTTTTAGTTCGTTAGTCTTATGAGCAAACATCCATAAATGCAAGATAAAATTATTGCACTTTGGATTACTTTTTACAAATGATTCCGAATCACTTGTAGCAAGTTTAACTCACCCGATAAGCCTTAAGACCTTTATCAATCGTATCTGCAAGTACATACCCAGAAGCAACAATGTAACTCAACCATACAACTGGTTTAGGTACGATACATCTGAATGCTTCTCCGACTTCGTTCGTATAACCTAAATTTTAAACCCAGTAATACATTACATTTTACCCGTTTTAACAAAAAGCATTTTTTAGAAAAACAAAAATAAATTGATGTACTGTTACAAAATGTCACTTCAAGAATTAACATCAATGTGAAAAATATATGACAATTCAATATAACCTGTTAAGTATTACCCAGATATCTCACCGATGTATCACGATATAAATCTTTCTCTTTTACATTTTCATTCATGTTTGAAACTTGATTTTCTAGTTGCTGTGAACAGAATACCAAGCAATAACAATACCTTTGACGTAACAGTATTAAACAGTGAGTACGTTTACACGCACTGTCTTTACGTCCGTTTTATAACTAACAATTTCATAACTACTGGTGTTAAGCGTTGTGTAAACGTTGTTTTAAGTTGGGAGTCAGGGTTGGTAACTTAACTTTTGCAGGGTTGCGCGATCGCATCCTGTGCTGCCCCCAGTGGAAAATGTAGACGGCTTGCCACCTGTTACCCCTCAATGGCGGCGCAACTTACTTCCAGTAGATACTTTCTGTTTGATATCCTACATAAATATTTAAAAAAAATAAAATGTAATAATATCAATTCCTTATTCAAAATTATAAGTTAAAGGTAAAAATGTTCAAAAAAATATATTTCAATAATTATGTAATTATCTCATTTTTCCATTAATTAAACTGTAACATTATGATTAATTGTGCGTACTATGAAAGTCGACGTTAACATGCATGTTTATTACAATTTCTTGTATCTTATGCAACCCCAATGTAGTTTATGGGCAGATGTATTACAATTATTGTCTAACATTATTTCCTCGTAAATTAGACTCTTATCTCTGATTTTGAAAAGGTGAAAGATTAAATACACTAGCTGTTCCAAGAACTACTAGAGCTGAAATAAAAACAAATTTCATTTCATTTCATAATTTAATACAATATACCTATAAAGCAAACCGAACAAATGAAGTTAGTCAAGCTCAAACTATTATAACTTATTTTGAAAAATTGCTAATTCCTCCTATAATTTAAAAGTTCTATTTTCGACTTATAAACATTGTACCTGTTGCAAGAGAACTCATAACTGCTTTTCCAGATATATTTTTCGATTTTTTCGATTCGCGTAAAACGAAGAAACCTGCTCCAACTAGGACACAGCCACTTATAATTCTACAAGACATACAGTCATGTTTTCCATTAATGTCAATTTTGGCTGCCGGCTCTGACATCACTTTTGGTGAAATGCATACATTTACGTTTTAATTAAAGACGTACTAAACGTGTGGCATTCATCTTGTAAACGATTTAAGGTTATGATAACTTACCTGCTTAGTGGACACATGGACCCAAAGGCGAATTTACACGATGCTAGTAACTCGTACGACTCACTTAAAACCGAATGATGGAAACGAGTAGGGTAGAGATGAGTTGGGAGATTGCTCACGGGCAGGGTCGCGCGATCGCATCATGTGCTGCACTCTGGTTTATATTATTTAATTAATATTATACCAGAGGGCAGCACACGATGCGATCATGCGACCCTGCCCGTGAGCAATCTCCCAACTCATCTCTGATACGACCTTGGGCGCCACCAGCAGCTCGTTGATCGGGGCGACATCTGCGTAGCGTCTACCAGTTTGTGTCTATAAAGTAATACTCTTTGGTGTTCATCATGGCTTCTACAGGTTTGTCTGCAATTAAATTTATTTTTGCTAATATTATTCCTTTGTGACAATAAGCGTTCTTTTCAAATTCTTCGTATACAATTACGGCAACGTAGTTTACGGTGATTCAATAATAAGTACAGTGTATTTCATTAAACTGCCCTTACTGTCTCACTGTAGTCAACTTTGACAGTTTCTGTCAAACTCTTTGAATTAGTGATGCATTTCATTTTTACAATTCATGTTATTCATTCACAGAATCCCTTGTATGTGATACACTCGATTTGAGCGGGCAAAAATTAAAAAAGCTCAGTAGGTGTCCTTTGGATGCTGATATCAATACACTGATAGTAGATGACAATGAGCTTCAACGTCTTGATAATCTTGACTCTTATCACAGAATAACAAAGGTAACAAACCAAATTGTTATGTTATCTGTAATTTTGGTAAAAACCTTATTCAGAGATGTTTATTTATATAATATTCATTAAAGGAATGTGTCCGTAACATTTATTAGATTCCTTATTCTAATTAAACTAATTTGTTTCAGCTTTCCATAGCAAGAAATCAGTTGCTTCGTATGTATGGTGTGTCAAAACTTCATAACTTAGTTACCTTAAATCTGGCGAACAATAGCATACTCACTATCGAAGGTATTAAGGAACTGACAAATTTGCAAACATTGTGTCTTGCTGGTAATAATATTAAGGTAATTTAACATTATTACTATGTTACTTACATCGAATGTTTCTATTGCTCTTTTAACATATCCTCCATATTATTAACACATCTAATTTTAACAGTCCATTGAGCATTTGCATACAAATACAAAATTGGTACATTTGGATTTATCAGAAAATGGCATAAGTCACATTTCGGATATTTCATACTTGCACAATTTAAAGGTATGATATTTTTTATAACTTAATGTTTTAAAATAATAAAGCTCATTGAATTTTCATTCAAATAATCTTAATATCAATAACAATATTGTAGGAACTGTTTCTACACAATAATCGTATAATTACACTCTGGCAGTGTGAACGATATTTACCTGTTTCGCTTGAAACACTGACATTGGCCAACAATAATATAGCAGATCTCAATGAAATGTCACACTTAGCAAGTTTAACAAATTTAGTGAATTTTTCATTTGCTAACAATCCATGTGTGAGCAGGACAGAGAATAGTATGTATCCTTTCAATGATCGTACATTTCAGTTGTTTCCATTTAAATGCTTATAATAATCTACTTATGAAATATTATACATGGTACTGAGCAGTACATATAAAAATAATTGTGTTTCTATTTTCGTTCCAATTTTGCATCACAGTCTTTTGATAATATGCCTGTTTAATTCAGTTTTTCTCTGTTGTAATATTTACATAGACAATATTCTCAGGTGACATACAATTAACCTGATTAGAAAAAAGGGTTCTTATCTTAGATATTATATGTTAGATGTATTTTTCTTAACCGATAGTTTATAGTGGCTTCAATTACCGCCCTTTCGTTATCAATTGGTGTATGAATTTGAAATCAGTCGATGGATATCCAGTGACGGACTTGGAGAGGTACGTTACATTAGAGTCCATTGTATTTTTTTTATAAAATAGTATCGGTTTGTATCTATTGTTGTTAATATGATCAAATTAATACATTATCATGCAATCTCAGGCTCCTGGCCGAGTGGCTTTATTCTCAGGGACGAGGTAGACAGTTTCGCGTTGGCGAACATGCCCAGCTTACCCAATATTTAGCATCCGTATGTCCCTTCTCACCTTCCGAAAGCGAGATGGAAAGGAAACTTAGACTCATTCTAAGTAAAGCGCAGTATCATCAGCAACAACTGAGCCAACAGAGCGATACTGGAAGTGTGCACAGCTTGAGTAGTGCAGTACTGAGCCCTTCCCCGGCTGCTAGACGTAGATTTAATAATAACAGGACGAACTCTCCCAGGCTACCCAGTGAGTCAAAGTTAAATACGTCTTTATTCAAAAGAAGCCTCACGACCGGAGCATAGGAAAATTACCTTTAACTTCAATCGTTGAACATTTGAGTCTTCATTAGGAAGTGCTTTATTTTACAAATCAACATTCAAAGGCTCAAACGAAGTACATGCATCCTAGTTATCGTTTGTTTTCTCTAGTTGCGCCAATGTTGGCGTACTATGAGGATAAGTGTTTACACTTGCCAAATTTTTACGACGTAAAGTACTGCGCCTGCCATTCCCTTTGCAAAGGTATTCGAATATCAAGATTCAGGATCTTCTTTAACGGCTAAAAGTGCATAGTCTTTTCTGAGTTGTCGCTTCTTCGAGCTTGTAGCGCAAACTCTTTGAAGACTCAAGCGAAGAGTTGTATTATCTAGCGGATCGCTGATTAGATGCGACAGATAGTGTCACGCATTTCTCATATTTCAGAAGACACGACACTAATATTCCCGTTATCCTTTGCACGCTTTAGCTAATATTTCTACCATGAACTATTCACATGTGTCACGTAATTTTGACGACGTCGATTAGTGTTTTAAATTATACTCATTTTAATAGGTACATCTCGAGGTTCTTTAAGAATAAGATCGCCGGATAGAATGGTATCCAGTTGTCATGTAGATTCTATGGTCTCATCGTGTCATTCGACTTTGAACAACGATCATGAACCACTCATGACGCAAAGCTTGGACCCAAACATGTTAAGTGACAGTCTTGCCAGCAAATCGGTCAATTCTGGTTTATCACAGCATATTGAAGGTATATGTAAAAAAACTTAAGAAGATACGAAAGGTATTAAGAAATTTAATCGACGTCGATAAAATAAAATTCATCTATACCCTTTTTGGTGGTAATGCCGTAATTAATTTTAGGGCCTCCATATTCCCGTGGTAAAATTTGAAACGAATCGGTACACCCAATTCGGGAAATTCACCAACGGTTTAACTTCTCTGATATATATAGATTGACCCTTTCCTATCACGAATATTTATTTTTTAGAGACATCAAGTCCATTGCAAGCTGCGACGAAATTGGTACCAGTTCCTGAATCTTTAATGAGTCCTGATTTTCGCCCTCCTTCTGGACTTTCTCGAATGTTACCAAAGACTCCACCAAGTAAATTAAACTCTCCGAGTCAAATTACCATACCCGGTAAATTCTGTCCTGATAGCGATGGAAAAACCGCAGCAATAATGAATACCGAGAACGCTGTACCAAAAACCAATCTCTGCACGTTGAAAGCAAACGCGTTAATGAAAAGTAACTCCGCTTCGAACTGCTCCATAGGAAAAGCAAATATTGCTAAACCTATTATCACGAATGCCAATGGAAAGCATCCTCAGACCGTAAAAATCAATAACTATGTGCAAAATAAATCTCCACGTGTGACGAAGAGTTCGAAGGTCACGCCTTTCTTCGAAAGATGTGTACGAAGACCCAAAAGTGCAAACGAACGTATTAAAAATAACATAACGAGGAAAACTAGAGATGGGGACGGTGACAATAACGCAACATTAAGTAGCGACGAAGACAGTGAAGTTTGTCAAGCCAAATTGGACGGCATTCGACACAGAGCTAGTCAACGGCGACAAGAGGATATCATCAAAGGCAAGAGTTGCTTTAAGAGGATATGAAAGGCGCTAAGAAAAAAACGTGCACGAACCACGCCATATTTGTTCTAGTCTATAATAAGCAAATCAATTTTTCTTCATATCCTCTTAAATCATTGCCCTGAAAACTTGTAAATATGTATATTACAGGCAATGTGAGAAAATGCACCAAATAGTCCACACTGCTCCATTTATCAAATTGACCATAAGACATACCTACATTTTCTTATAGCTACAATATTTAGTATTTTTATCTTTCTCACAGATGATCAAGCTGAGAAAGCGGCGATTTGCATTCAAAGAATTTGGAGAGGGTATCACGCCAGAAATTTGAATAAAAAGGCAACGGACATCTTAAAAACTATAGAAATGATAAGGACCAACAAATATATCCAGTAAGATTTAACTAACTAATTGATTTTCTCTCTTTAATACAGCTATTTTACTTTAATTTAATACAACTACATTTATCTTTTTTCTTGGTCACATTCAATACATTTATTCGTTATTATCCGTCAGAAAACTTTCGTCGGACATGGAAGCCACGAGAACTGCTCTCGAGAGTGAACACAAACTGCAATTGTTGCAAATGCAAGCAATAAATGCATTATGGAAGAAAGTCGTAAGTTTGCAACCAGGTGGTCGAGACACAGGAAGAGGGGACAGTAATGGAACTTCGCAACCAAACCCTGATGTTGTTACGAACCTAGCACAGACATGCAATTTATTGCATTCGCAGGTAAAAAAAATATCTCCTAACTATTATTATTAACGCGATGTTGCAGGATTAAGGTGAAGTGAACGGATTTTCAATCGTTTCCTCCCAAAAATATGCCTCCTACCCTCCTGGACGCACGAAGGTCCCCAGTCGATGGTGGTGTCGAGGGGGGTGGGAGGCGTACTTTTAGGAGGAAACGATTGAACATTTTTGGTGCATATGTAACATATCAATAAATCCACATGCCAATTTTCACATTGATCCGTTGTGTAGTTTCTTCACCAGAAAATCAGAAAAAAAGCGGTAAATTTAGGAAAAAGAAAGAAGAAAATCCCCCTTCTTAAATTTAACGAGTTTTGACCAAAACTTTCAGGTTCAACAGCTGCAAGATTCAATGTCGGAAATAAAGCGTTGCATGTCGAGCCTGCAACCGAAACCAAGTCTGGTTGATACCGGAGTGGGAACGCAAACGGAAATATCCGCTGTGCACACTCCCGCAGGCGAGGAAAATACGTTTCCTTATGCACGCCCTAACAGGCCGCAGTCCTTGGCGATTCAACAGACGATTCACGAAGGAAATGAGAATAAGAGCTACGCCTCCAATATGGTCGACAGTGTGTTGAAGAAAGCGTCACACTCGACCGACACTACGGATGACGAAGTTAACACAGATATTTTAAACTCAAATGAGAATCCCGAGCCTCCGATTTCCGTCGATCATCCTGACTTGTTCAAGAGCTGCGAGGAAATACTCGAGTCAGATTTCAAAGATGTGGACGGCAAAATGGACCCTGAGTACGAAGACGTGATAGAAAGTGCTGCAATCGGGGGCGAAGTTTGCGAGGAAGTATTGTACAAAGAACTAAACCTTTTTATTAACACCGAAGGTACTACAGAAGATAACGTTTGCAATAATGTCAAGACAAATTCGGAAGAGGTTGAAGAGGTCAGTCCAGCGGTTGATTAAGAACTTAAACTCGAGATTATTTCGCGTGTTATTAAGAGTGAAGCGGGATATTTGACAGCAGGCACAATAGAAAAGATCTCTGGTCGTAATGACATCTTAGGAAGACATTGGCGAGAGATTTCTAAAGACAATCACTCCAAGAATTTTATGCCACAGAGTTGTGTGAGGATTGCCAATTTTTACCATCTATAAAATATTTCACCTTAGATGGTATTACATGAGTTGAGTAATTAACTCTGAACACTATAGTTCATATATATATAACGTCCAACATCACATATTTCAAGTGATCCGGCTTTTTTTTTTTTTTTTTCGTTTAACTAGAATTAAGGGGATGTGAAAGTGCCAATCGTTCATGAAACTTTTCTCCGAACTGAGTGTGCCTAATCGTTTCAAACTTTACAATGTGAATATGAAGACTGGAAGGAAGGTCATGACACTCATGGAATTATAAATCGATTCGGTACACCCAGTTTGGAGAAAAGTTCCATGAACTCTTATGAGAAGTTTCATGAGACCTCTTTGATGCCACTTTCTCATCACCTTAAATATAAAACTGAATAGTCAAATAATACTGAATATTGATTAATCCTACGTATAGATGATCTCCACTTGAATATTAATTTTACTAGTAGTGATACGCGGAGCTTACTGTGTCCAATTATTCGCCATAAAATATTCTCGAGACTTTAGAAATCTCTCATCTTTAGTTAGAAGGAAGGCTCACTGTACATAGATTTGCAGGATAAAGCGATATACACGACAGGACTGTTGCGCGCGGTAATTTCAACAGCATAGTGTTTCGATTTTCTACCGTTTTTGGAAATAATTATCTTAAGCGGCAGAACGCACACTTAAACCTAAGCTAGAATGGTTATTTTGGCGAAGTATCAGATTAATAACGAATAAAATAATATCTTTTGCTGATAATTTGTGCTACATTGTCACAAATTTCCGTACAATCGTTAAAATTGCCTATCCGTCCAAAATGTAATGCAAACGAACATGTCGCGTCACTAATCTTTAATTTCCATGCAGTTTCTTTTTCAATTTAAGGAAGAAATAATATTTTATGATTGCAAATCAACTGTTCTACGCATATGTGATACAATTACCGGTATACCGTGTCAATTTTTAATGCCGCGTCGACAGAACATTAGACAGAATATAATCGCGATTGTCGACAACGTCGAACATTCAGATAAATAAATCTAGTCCTTATTTGTTTGTAAAATGCGATACTTCGATAAAAATGTTACAAAAACAAATGAGCTGTTGGCTTTTTATAGGAGCCTTTGAAACTAGTCAATATTTGTAACTTAGAAGTACAGGCATGTTATGAATATTGGTAATATTGTTATGTAGATATGCATTGTCTTAAAATCCTCAATTGTTACTTAACTAAAGAGGTCCTTACTGAGGCTCGGACTTAATGTTGAATGAAAATATTTCATTAATTTTATTGTATTACAACCATCGTATACATATATATAAAATTACTGCTTTTACATGTAACATTTTAGTTGCTATAAAAAAGGTAAAAAAGCATTGTGACAAACAACAGTATTATATGCTCAAGCAGGTACATTCCAGTATCGAGAGATATTGTAAAGAATTAGATTTTTTTTAAGTAGTACCTTTTGTTTTTAGTCTTGAGATTATGTTATCATACAAAAACGTCTACGTTCTTTTTTTCTGTTGTAATGATGCTAGAAGATAGCACGACAACAATATCGTTTTTTCTTTATTTACCACTAGTGATTATTCGTATATATAAAACTATTGAAAGTTGATTGAAATTATTTTTCAAGTTTTTTGGTAGTTAATATTTAGATATAATTTAATGTGACTCAATTTATCATGAAACTGTATGTCAAAAAGTTTATACAAATAAGAACAAACTCGTGAACATTATAATTTATTATGTAAAACCTGGTATGATTAATAGATGTATCACTCACTTTTATCAGTCACTAGTTACTTAGTTTATAGTAGGTACTTCACATTATTCTTAAAAAAATACATTGCAGTAGTGAAAAAAATTTACACAAGACGAAACTGTCGTAAATGTTTGGACTGCAAATAAATATGATTATGCTATTATACAAATAATCATACACTTTGATATCACATAAAATGTGGATTAGAAGTATTTCTTTTAACATTGTACATGGAGTTCTTTTGGTGTTAACCAAAGTATGGATCATAATGAACCTCGTTTAATTGATTTTTATATTATATACTTCCTTAATACCACGAATTTAAACCAAATAATATTTTAATTGTTTGAAAATTATCATAAAATTTTAAGAATAATAACGTTTATTAATGTACAAATTTTCCCATTCAACTACAATGGTTTGAAAATTTTATTAATAGATCATCTTCAGTTACTGACCTGCTGAATTATAAATGTCTGTGGTACACAATTTTCTGTATCGTAATGTGAATTGTGATTCATATATAAATCACATTATGTAAATTATTTTTCCTCAGAAATGGAAGTCACGTGTCATTCTAATATCAAGGTTGCCCTTAAATTTAATGTTTATTGGAACATTCGTCGACAGGTAGCTCTTTCAACCGTTAAATAACACCGCATTACTTTTTTGGTTCTTTCTATTTCCTCCATAATATCTTTATTATTAGGACATTCTATATTTGCACGTTTCAGGTCTGCAAGTCCTAGATCATATTCATTCAAACCCATATATGCTTGTCCTCTTCTAAACAAGGCTTTACTATTTGAATCGTCAGAACATAATACCTGGAAGTATAACTTGTTTATAAATAAAAAAATATTTGTACAATGTCATGGTTTTCTTTTTGATTTATTATCTCTTACCTCATTACAGAGTTTTAACGCCTCACGATATTTATTTTGCTTCAGCTTAACCGCAGTTAAATTCAATAGGATTACAGATTTAAGACTCTTGTCGTTCCCCATTGTTTCAGATATGTTAGGCTGCTTTGTAATCCAATTGTAGTATCTTAATGCCTTTTTGTATTTTCTGTCAGCATCAATATAGTTTTTGTTTGTAAAATAAACATTCCCTGAATCTTTTATCTTTCGGACAATGTCTTCCATACCATCGTTCTAAAAGGATCGTTGACTAAGTACATATTGTAGTTTGGAAAATAGTTAAATAATAAAGAAAATCCTCACATTTAGTTCACCAAATACCCAATCTTCAGGCCAAGGTGTAAAAATATCTTCTGATCCATCATTCTCACCCAATCCCCAATTTTCTCCCCATTTCAGTTCGCCGCAATCAGTTATACAAATTTTCTAAAGAAATGCACTCAGCTAAAGCAATGCTTAAATGTCAGCATAACAATCGAGGGGAAATAACTAACATTTCATTGTTTTTCTTTACCTCCACAGGGGTGTCTTTCATTGTTGGAACCTGATTTAATTCCATTACAACACCCAAGCCCCTTAGCACTTTACCGAATACCACATTTGTACCATCCAAATGTGGACATGGTACTGTTGTAATGATAAACTGAGAACTATTGGTATTTGGACGGCCTTCATTCACTGAACTAAGTAACCCTGCCGATGAGTGTGGAATTTCAAAATTCTCATCGTCAAAATGCGGACCATATATACTTTCTCCTAAGGTCCCATCAAAATTTACAATGTCACCACTTTGAATCATAAATTGTGGAATTACTGTAATATATAACACAAAATTGAAAATATACAGGAGGAAAACAAAAAAAAATTTCAAAACATTACATTTAGAAGACAAGTCATTCATTACATGCAAAAACATTCATTACCTTTGTGGAAAGTACAACCCTTGTAATGTAATTTTTTTCCATAGGTTCCAATACCTTTTTCTCCGGTACACAGTGCCCGAAAGTTTTCAGCCGTTCTTGGCACTGTATTTTTAAACAGTTCGATCACGACTCTCCCCACTGCAAAGACATTAAGAGTTATTAGTCACATCTGTATCCATAAAATAGAAAATTTGTATTAAAAATATTTCTCTGCAAAATCAGTAAAAAAAAAACTGAACTGGAAATTGTCAATCGGGACTACTCGAGGTATTGAATTCAACAATGACATAACCTAAAAACAACAAATACCTTTTTCTTGTCCAACCGCAGTGTCTAAAAAGACAATCGGATTTCTTTCAAAATTGTCCTCCCATTCCTCCAAAGAACGCTTCATTTTTCATTCGTTTCCGAATATCGGGCTTGAAAAAACACTAAAATCTACTTCGAGTGATTTTAATCGAAATTAATGCCATTGCCCAAAATCGCGAATTCCTGTAAATTGCCGCAAACTTTAGCGGAAACCCACCAAAGTATCCTGAGATTGTGTCTAGTACTACACACGCATACTCTACATACTAACATTTACTGCCCTTAGCTCCCTAGATTTGTTTCGCTTAGGGTAAAATGAAATAGCTACAGTCTTCAGATTGTTTCTTTACGGAGTGGCAAATTCTAAATCGACTTATTTAAACCAATGAAAATAAATATTTGTGAAAGTGAAATTGTGAGAAAAAAAATTAATTCAGGTCCCACCGAGATTTGAACTCGGATCGCTGGATTCAGAGTCCAGAGTGCTAACCATTACACCATGGGACCTTTAGTTCCCAATTTTGTAAAATACTGTGATACAGTAATATTACAAATATATTGNATGTATAAATTATAATGTAAAAACAAGCGATCCTTAATATTGATAGATACAATTATGTAGACTTCAGTTTCTAAAAGCTCCATGAAGCATAAAATCTCCATCAAGCACTAGAAAACTAATGGTATTTCTATACCTTAATACTTATGTGAGAATAATAATTGCGTATCTCTTGTTGATAACGATAATAATAACGAGTGTTAATAACGTCCTGTTTTCATTTGATTATACAACCGAAATTGACACTAGCAATTTTGTATATGAAAATAATCCTGTATTTTTACGACGTCGTGTATCGACGTTGATATATAAGTATTATCTCCATTCTTTTTGAAATATCACTTATGCTACTTTTGAGCAATAAAAGTGTATTTTATTTTTTGCGCCATGTTTGTTTGGATGTCACGAAAACGATTTATGCAAATTACAATTATGTTTTGCTGTTCAAAACATTTTTTTCCTGTATTCGCCGTGAGTAATCCATTTGGCTAAGTGTTTAAGGGTATTATCCACATATTTATTAAATTTTCTCGTTGGTCTCTTCTACGTAAACTATAATATTGCACGCGGTTGTTGATTATATATTGTACAAGTACAACCCCGATTAGAAATGCCAAATACTCTAAAGCGAAGTGGGTACAGGTGCAACATTATCGTTTTAGTACAAAAACAGCAAGCGTTCTTGAGCTCTGCCAGAAAGTAATCTCCATCCACGTTTGATGTTCAGATATTGGATGACGGCGCGTACGCAAATAAGAATTCCTGTAACGAAATACCATTACATTACATTACATTAAAATACCAGATGTAAGTTGTGCAATGTGTTTATTACTTACCAAATGCCATAATTAGCCACCAAACCCATGCATTCTCACGAGAAACTAGGTCAGTGGAATGTTTGACAATTAAAGTCCACTTAGTCAAAGAGAGGCCAAATCCAGATAGTGCACCATATCGAGATGCAATGGTATGACAGAAGCATATCAAAAGTAGAAATCCAATCCAATTAAACAAAAAGGCGACTGAAAAATTGAAAATACTTTTGATAACTGCCTAGCACGTTATTATCGAAAAGTAAAAACCATTCATTACCAAGAAACGCTGTAAAAAACATAAAATCTGTGCCAAGCAAACCACTTTCTGGATCCCCTTCGGTTACTTCCGTGTCTATAGCAAGGATCGTTAACGGTTGTTGTGGTCTGATGCCAGGCTAAGTTGAAATAAGTATTTGTATTATTAAATGTAACTGTGATTATTTTGTGCCGTCTTTAAACATAAAATTACCGTGCGCATTTGTGGCTGAGAATGTGGAGTAGTTTCTCCTTGCAATGTCTTTTCTCGTTGTACTTCCTCATAACTGGGTAATTTTGTAGCCACTTCATAAGGAGGAGGTGCCGAAAAATCTGGTTTGGGTGGCGGAATTTCTTCCGTGTCACCACATCCCTATAAACGACGTTTACTAAACAATGTGTTGAACCGATTTCTTAAAATATTTACTTTATTACGTTGGGAGAAATTTGACAATGTAATTAATTAGAATTTATTAATTACTTACATATATTATTTTGTGCTAACACCGTTCAGATATGTTACTGCGAGCTTTAGATTTTTCCAAACTTATGACTATATCTACCAAGTAAAATGATTAGCAAAATGCTTAATTGAGGTTTTACCATTCTTATAGCAGGGACTGCTTGAGCTGTACCGATAGCACCATTGTGACCATGTACATTGTTTTGAACAACAGGCAGAGCTACTGTGAGCGTAGGAATGTCATTGTGTACAGGAGTATTGGTAGTATTTTCATTGTTACTTTGAGAAAGCTAGAGAGAAACGCATAGATATATTATGATAAGATTATAACGATACGAAGACTGATCATGTAACGTATATTATCCATTTTAATCAACATTAACAGTTAATACTAGTTGACATTTATTGACAGTTAATATTTATTGACCCAGGTTCAAAAGCTAGACAGAAATTATCAAGTGTACAGCCCCATTTTCTCTAACATTTTAAATTTACGAAAAATATTGAGATTATACATAAGTGATATATTATAAAATCTCTGTGGTAATAATAACAGTTGTCAACATCGAAATATAATTATTAATTTGCATAAAGGAGGAAGCTAGGTTTGGAAGGTCGTGTAAATGTATATATTTACTCCGCACAACCCACTCTCCTTACTTACCATATTGTAATTAATATCACTATCCATCATCAGCAAAATTGACTCGTGATTTATTTCCGGAATTGTAAACCTCACTTGGTCAAGATTCCCCCTTTAATTTTGCTTTTATCGATGCAACCAGTAGTAAAACTTTTCAGAATCGATGGCTGACAGCTGGTAAGATCTGCCTTATCGTGACGCTAGCCGAGGCGCTGAGATCCCGACACATCTGTCTACATCTTTCGCTTCATTCACGTTTTAAGCTCGATTCACATTCAACGATGCTGAATCTCAGGGAGGATTCACTTCGCTAAACTCCGTTTAGCCTGTTACAAGCAACGTATTTAGCGTGCCTACTGCCAACGGGGAGTCGCTTTGAAACTTGAATCTAGTGAAAATGCTAAAAGAGAACATCTCCCGCGATTCTGTAACTTTCACTGACCACGTTTCTATCGCATTCCTAAATCCGAGATTTATCTGGTTTGGTTCAGTAAATCACATGTCTCCATCGCAATCTTAGACCATATATATCAGAGATGAGTTGGGAGAATGCTCACAGCAGAGATGAGCAGATAACATGAAAAAAAAATGGATCCTATTGTGATCGACTAATCCTGGAACTGGACCTGAAACTCACGTGAAACCGACTTAAGGGCAGCTGAGTGCAGTAGCGGAATGCGAGTGTATAAACAACCCCTCAACGATAGATATCTCTAAAAGCGATTGCTAATTTTTTCTCGTATCAGTTGTGTAAATATAATTTCTCTATTTTTTTTTGTACATGTAATTATTGTATGAAGCATTTATTGACATTATTGCAATTTGAGATCAAGTGATTAATGTATGAAATTATTACTTTCCTATTTCGCGGTAACCGTAGTTGACTAACCTCAAAAACGTCAGTTTTGTAGCGGGAATAATACGTTGTTTAAATAACAAGAGCCGATAATTTGAAAATCATGACTACGCAAAGGGCACTACCGCAGAGTAAAGAAGCTCTTTTGAAATCTTATACTACGAGACTGAAAGACGATGTGAAATCTATGTTGGAAAATTTTGAAGGTAATCTATGACTTTTATTTTCTTATCGTACGTAGTGGATATACTCGTTAAAAGTTAGAGTGAATGTGTTAATTATGCATTTGAAAATATATTAATCCACTATAGTAAATAATTCACTTGCAGAATATATAGACATAATATACATGTTATGTTTTTTAGAAATAGTCAAGTTAGCTAAAGGGGAGAATGATAGTCAGTTATCCCGAATGACCCAATGTGAGCAGGATACGTACGAAATGCACGTGCGAGCAGCAAATATTGTTCGTGCAGGAGAGTCTCTGATGAAACTGGTATCCGATATTAAGCAATATCTGATTTTAAATGATTTCCCGTCAGTGAACGAAGCAATAGCACAAAATAGCAAGCTATTCAGAACAAAGCAAGCAGAGTGTGATCAGAAGTTGGCTTCCTTGAGGGATGACATGGCTGCAGATCTTTATGATTTGGAAGAAGAATATTATACCTCTATATATAAATAATTTGAATCAGAAATATCTTAATAATTTCATAAAACTACACGAATGACTGTTTTTGAATGGGAACATGCTGTTGGCTAACTAAATATAAGTGCACTGTACATACTTATTTAAATAGAATTGATTTTTCTAATTATCCATTGTGTTAGTTTGAATATAGTTAGAATCTAGAGATAAGAAAAATTATCCACCTTATTATTATCCGCTTTTATTACTTCAGTATTTCGTAACACACAAATGATACATCACATGATACTTCTAAAAGGTAAGTATGTCCTACAAGGTAATAATATGAATTCAAGCTTCAAGTATTATTTGTAACCTTAAAGTAATACTATTTCCTTTCTCTTCATTATTTACTTGGTAAACTGCAAATGCATTAGGGACTACAAAAAGTCCAGTCTCCTCCATACTGTACAATAATAATTTACAGATATACTACGGAGCTTTGCAAGTTAAAGCAAGGAGACGTAAAGAATTATTTTGTCTTTTGAAAGAAATAAAGATTCAGACGCTTCACTGAATTTTGGAATGTGTAAACACTAATCTTCTTTCTGCTCCGTGTAATCATCTCGCAGGATGGAACTGACGTGGCAAGAAAAAAGTGATTCCTCCATATATCACCATTCTATATGGGCTTGGAAGTATATCTTTTAAATGCTCCAAAAACTAATGAAAATATCACAATGTAAAATGCTGATGCCATGACAATGGCCTACCGACTACGCTCAGCGAACCGGCACGGTATTTAAATACAAACACGTAAGTCTTATAGGGACACAGTAATGCTTCTGAGCAATCGAACCCTCCATTAAATTATTCATTACGGATTGAATTTATTCATTCAAATGGCATTCAACTTTTTGATAAATTACTTTTGCATATTCACTTCTGCTGTAATCGCATGTCAAAACAGTCATACATTTCGAAAGACTACCCTAAGGAAATTTTAACATCGATGAGACGAGACGATTAACTAGCCGAGTGAGAGTTCGTTAAGTCTAAATCAGATTTTCTTTACAATGTACAATATGCTTGCAGCTTGAAATGTATAAATTTGATAATCCACAGAAATCAGTATATTAATGATTATTTATTATATTAATTTCTGAATTTACTTTTGGAATGAATCGAGCACTTTGAATTTTTGCAGAGTATACAAAATTAATATCTTTATTCATTGTATATGTAGCAACTACATTTTCTAGAAAGATTTGTCCTAGGTGGTCTTTCGAAGTATAACAAACTCATTAATAGCTAACACGAAACACGGGAAATAAGGTTTTAACATCCGAGGGACCTGCCTTTACTTCCTAAACGAAAAAGAAACACGAAGTGCGCGAAAAGAGTGAATCACGCAGAATCGGAAACGCTTCAATTATTTTTGATTGCGCAAATCATTTCCTTTTCAAGACCAACAATAATTTAATATATACACGATGTAGTTCGCTTAAAATTAAATGTTACATTCAGTAAATTGGGCCTCCTGCGCGTTCAATTTGACCGTTTCTTTTTTTTTTTTATTAATTTTTTCTTTAGGGAATTTATTGATTCCTAAAATCACTTTAAAGGGCCTCGTCTAATGATAAGAAACCACCGAATAGAGTACGAACAAAAGTTATACGAAAACTCCTACACCTGCGCCAAAAGAAATGAGAACAATCGAGAACCAACAATAGGGTGCAATAACAATTACTGGTAATATTCGGTGATGGAACCACGTGGTGACTGAACTACCTCCACTCCGTGATGCGGAATGCGCAGTTATCTCAATTTACAATTCTTACAATTTCTACCGATCGAGAAAGTGATATCATGTACACCGTTGCAATAAGTACACTAAGTAGACTTAACGCTCTACTTTGGCAAAACCTTTACTGATCAAAATTTGAGTTTATCAGAGATGTTTCACGCCATTGTCGAAAGTGGGATACGGCTCCCTAACGCGGTGGAACTGCTTTCAAAGGAGAGAAATGTTCTCTATCAGTAAAGAAGGTTTCAAATGTTTCAAATACAGCACAGTATCGATAGAATGTGTAAAGGGCGTAGAGGGCGCCAGAGGGCTATGCCTCTCTTTCAAACAATGGCGTGAAACATCTCCCCGCTCATCTCCGAGTTTATATACCTCTACTAGTTTCCTGTTATCGATACGATTTAAAATCGCAATTCCCCCAAAACAGAAATCCTTGTGTAAGATACCGGCCGTCAGCTGGTAGCTTAAACATTTGCGGCTTGGCTTATTAAAGTAATTTCAAAAGAATTCTAAACGTTATTCAGTTCCCTCCTCTCGATCTCCCATTATCCACTAAAAGCTCTCCAAAAGTGTGATATGCGCTCGTCTCGTCTGTACAGTGACGGAAGAACGATCGTTGGACTTATTCGCGTCGAAGATCGCTCGAGAATATGATCTCGTATTTGGCAGTTCTCGATAAATTCATCGTATATAAAGGACATTTGTTTACTCGCTTGATACAGCGTAGAAATACAAAGTAAATGCATATACTTGGAATGATACTGTTTTACCTTCCACGCGGAGATAGTTGCATCGCTGTTCGACAAGGTCCTGCTTTTATCCTTACTGAGAAGACTAAATATCCAACTACTTGGGTAAACGGATATCCAGCTTATCAAGTTACGTGCACATCTGACGGATTAGTCGGATCACAAGAATACGGAAATTTCCTTGGGAAATATTCCGTCAACATTGTGAATGTTTTTCATTCGGTCACAGAATTCGATATTACTTTACGCCGAATGCAAGCCCTTACATTGTCTTATATATACAGGATGTTTTGTTTAAATTGAAGCGACGATATATCTCTATAACCATGCATTAAAGCAAGAAAACGTTGCAAATAAAATTTGAATAATTTCAGTGTGATATAAAATTACTGTGATGTAAAAGACATTGGTTCCAATGTAAAAAGCTGAAGTTAACTATGAATTATTTTGAAAACCACCGCCATATCAAGTAATTATCGCCATCATTTTTCTCCCTCAAAACCATAAAGATTTTATTTAATACGCATTTTTCTAAATGGTTTTCGAGCTATGTCGTTGTGTCAACTTAAATGAAACATCCGGTATATATTAGAATATTACATGTCACGTACACATATCCTGGCTCGCAGACGCACACGTACAATCGACCATTACGTTCCGACTACTCGTTAATATCGTGCACACTCCATGATCAATTTCTCTGCTTTTGCGTGAAATATCCGTCTACAATGCGAACGCATGCGTCGAACAGGAATACGTCCACCTTCGCCTTCGCTTAATGAGCTAACGAATGCCTTCGTTTGTGGCACACCTCGATTCGGAAATTCGATCATTTTCTTGACAAACCCTTAATGTTAGAAAGACTACGAAAAACTGGTCGTCTGCCGCCTTAACGACGACTCGCGAGGACGAAACAGCTCGCGAGAATCGGCCGTGATTGCGCAAAGATGAGCATTATTATAGTTCCGCGGCAGGACTTCGCTTCTCGTAAAAATACTCGTTTAACGGACACATTGCCGCTCTCTTCTTCATTTTGAAGGACGTACGACGTCTCACCGGTGCAAACGCTTCCTGTAAGCATTTTAGAATGCCTTTCTGGTGTCTTTGGTCGAAGGATAACGAGGCTGGTCCTTGAATTTTGTATCCTCGTTAACCTTCCGATGTCGAATTCTGGAGTTCCGAAGGAGAATTTTAGAAAATCCTCGTCGACGAGACTCTCTGGATGAGGTCGAGGATGTCGACGAGAGCATTTGTCCTTCGGCTGCATCTCGCTTTTCTTCTTGAGGAAGGTTAAACGGACACGCGGCCGTTTTTTAATTCATTTTGAAGAATCTGCAATGTCTCACCGGTGCAAACGCTTCCACGAGGGATTTTCGTGCATTTTCTGGTGTCTTCGATCGGGGACGCCTAGTAGATCGTTCGACGTAGAATATATCTTCGTGAAAAATGAGAACCTCGGATTCTGGAGTTTTTATTAAAACAGAAGATCCGTCGTGGTCTCGGAACCCCACGCTCCCGCGTCTTGGGCAGGCTTTAAATAATCCACCTCGGTGAGACTATCGGGTTGAGATGTCGTCGAAGGAGTCACAGTCGACGTGGAAACCACAGCTCTAGTAACTCCGAGTTCAAATCCTTCCGACGCCAGGTCTACCTTGCTGGGTGTGAAGTTCGCGAGACCTCCTCCACCTAAAAAAATGTATACAAATTTTTTTTCGAAAAATGAAACTTCACGAACATCGCGTTCTTCCTTAGCCCTCCATAATCTCGTACGAATGATTCGGTGCACCCAATTTGGAGAAAAGTTTTATAAATATCTTGACATTTTGGTATGTATATATGGCACTTTCATATCACCTTAATAACATCAATGGATACGAGTCTTATACGAGTTACATAGAAAAACGTGGTTTTGTATGAAGTTTAAAATAACTTGTGATGTAAAATCTATCAAGAAAATATATAAATATATTAATTCAGTTTAATACTGCCAATTACGGCGAAAATCTAACCGAGAAGGGAGGTCATGCTCGTCGTGGGACTGGCGACGGAGGGCTTGTTGGCGCTGATTGCTGCGGACTGTTCGCCGGAACCGGAAGTGTCGCCATCTACGCTGCTGGTCTCGCCCTCGAGCATGGACGCCTCGCTGGGGTACTCGAAGGTGCTCGTGGCCGTGTCGTCGAATTGAATTCGATACTACAACCATTAAACATTGTTTCGTTGATAATTTCGCAGTCATTAAAAGGACAAATACAATGAAATACATTTAAAAGCATATAAACGGTCGAATATAACTTCTCAGGTACATATAGTCTGACTCTTTTGTATCACCTTAACTCTAAAATAGTTCTATACCTAGGACATTAGAAAAAATGCGTATATTATATCGAAGAAATGGAAAGTCGAAGAGATATTCGTCGTATAAAAAGCGATTCGGTATATAGATCGTTTTCAGTGGTTCTTGTCTTCGTGATTCAAAGAACAGTACTTCCGACTAGAGAAAGTTTGGGGACTCTTTACTTTACGGTGTAACGACGGAAGCGCTTTAGAGAACGAAGGTGGCCGAACGTTAATGGTCCGATTATAATTTTGTAATTATTTCATAAGAGGTTAAAGAAGTCGAGGGCAGCGGAAGTGAAAAAGATGGAGGGACCAGGAGCGGTACGGTACATGACTCCGTATAACAGTAACTGGTCACAGTTGTTGGTTTTTTGGTAGTGACGCTTCCTAGCGAGCTTAGTCGAACGCGTGCCGTTCAACTCTAAGTGCCCATGTCCTGTCAGGGTCAACATTATGTTAACACCAAACCTACCATGGGTAAGCCTAAACAGGTTTTTAACTGTGCTATGCTAAAACGATGGTAATATGAAGTCTCGGAGTGAAAATTTGGTTGACATGGAAATTAACCCATTTACTTCGATTTCTTTATAATTATTGTACGAAAACGACAGATGGAGTATGCCATTTAGTACAATACTCAATATAATTCGACACAGCTGTCGATATAAAAACGAACATCGGCAATGTAGGTATTTAGAAAAAACTTTTTTACGGACGTCGATCAGTTCCTCGACGTGTTTCACTTCGCCTTAAGCTGGAACGACAGCCGCGATGCTAACAGTACCGACGATTATTTCAGGTAGAGCTCCACTGCTTGCGGTGGTTAATTAAATGTATCTACCGTTCTCTCTGCGTTACCAAGACAAGAATCGTTAAAAAGGACAAGCCACGAGCCCTTCTAACCCTTTACAGCGCAACGAGTTCGACTGCCAGAGAAGTAAACCAAGATTCTATCTGATGTTTCTCTCGGTAATGATAACAAATAACCGAGCAAATTTTTGCATCGATATCAAGTTCCTCGCCGTGTTTCACTTCACCTTAAGGCACCTATGATGACCGATTGTAAGGTTAAAAACCGCGGTAAGGTAAATTCCTACCGTTCGACAGCCGACAGCATGAGAAGAACGATGTACCGGGAGTAACAGGTTAACCGAGATTGGGTAACTACCCGTAAAAAGCGGTTTTCTAGGCTTGCACGTGGAAAACCGTGGCGCAAACGTCAAACATGTGCCTCATTGATGTTGAAAACAACGCGACCTCGTTCGCCAATGAGTAAGCACTTCGGAGGCGATAAAAATTAGAGAAAGAAACGTTGAGCGGAGAGCGAACGCTTATACAGCGGCCATTTTGCAAGGCGCCGATTTTGAATCTGCAAAAACGTGGACAGCCCGGAATAACTTCTGAGAAGTAGTACTTTAGGAAGACGAAAATAATTATAAATTATTACAACTTTTGTTGCCAGCGTGGAGAATCCATTTTCAGGTCATATCATACAGTTTTCATTGGAGCCGGCAAACCGGAAATTCCTAAAGAACCGGGTCTGGTTCAAGAATTCCCTGCAAAGTGTGTCAGTACCTCGGAGATACCATTTTGGGCAGAAATACGAAGGTTGCACTATACCTTTTTCTGTTACGGTACCATAACCACTTTCGAAATTTGTATTATTTATTGCGGCATTACGTGACTCTAATTAGGTGCTAACTTGGTGCCGCTACGGAGAATTTAGTGCTTCCTCGAATAAGGGTTAGCAGACCTTTTTTGATAACGGTTTCCGCTTCATGTAAAGCTAGCACACCCACGGAAATAAAATAAGATTTTTAAAAGCGTAAAAAAACAACGAATGGATTAAATGTAAACTTTATGTTCTCCACCCTTTAAAGCTTCTTGAAAATATATTAACAAGCATGCAATAGCGATAATGACATTAGCATGAATATAGAACGTTACAGTCATTAAATTCCATTTGCATGCTCTAATTTAGTGCTTCAACCATTTTCAAAATCGCCTATACAGATACCAAAACTCATCGATGGCGACGGTGATCCTAAACAGTCGTTAGAATAATGAATTCACGGGATTGCGACAGTTTCACATCGATCTCTTCGTCATTACCTTACCGAAATGACAAATAGAACCCTTCGGTTCGTATAATTCTCAACGTAGACTGTAAAAGACTTGAAAATAAATAAAAATATCGGGAACGGGACGCCCCAGCTTATGTTACCACTTGAGTATTCAAAATGGCGTTACCACCAAAAAGGGTACAGATGAATTTTAATTTATCGACCTTGAATAAATTTCTCAGCGCCTTTCATATCAACTTAAACATCGATACCCGTTATGTCTCGACGTCGGTTCTCGTGTGAAAAATTCGCTCCGTCGCGTCATCTCGAGGTCTCGGCATTTTTCCGGGCAAATTTCCAACCAAATGGCGTCCGAGTGGCGCCACCGTGACGAACAAGTCACAAGGCGAAGGAAATAACGGGGACTCGTCAGTTAACCTCGTACCAATTGGTTTATACTTTATATGGGGATGTTCTAAGGAAACTAAGTGGAGGTTCGCGCTAAAATCTTATACCATGGGTTAAGCATCGATGGCCGATTCCATCAACATCGATTATCTCCCCGAATGGTACAGTAAACGCACAATTCATCAGGTCAGTCTTTCATGAAATATTTGACTTCTCCGATATATATGGAAAAGAAATGATAATATCGATAAATCCACCCAGTAAAAGTTCAATTTCGAGCCCGCATGAGAAAATGACGGGTTTTCCCGTACCTGTGTGGAATTATGGTAAGTACTCGTTAGGTAACATAATTACTCCTGTAATAAAGAAATCAAAAGTGCTGCTCTTAAATTCTAAATTTCACAAACGTGAGACGGCGGAGCCTTATAGTTTACGAAACCTTACGCAAAGTTCCGTTTAAATGACAAAAAAGCGTTATTAGCCCGCTGTCTATCAACGAAATTATTTTTGCAATCGATAAAGGCTTATATTCCTCGTAATTATATACGACCGTCCTTATGTAAGATCCCCGGGGCCCCAATAACTATACCCAAGGCTCGTAATTCGGCCGGCTGTGCAATTTCTTTCTTCAACGGGGATATGCTGTTCCACGGATCGCATTTCTTAAAATTATTTTTAATGATTTTTGCATTCTTGCACGAAAGTAGCTCGTGACCGAATTCAAGAGCTAGGTCGCGCATCCAAGTCGACTCAGCACGAGACTTGTGACGTAAGGTTCTTTGGTGTAATACAAAACCCCGACATCGCGAAAACAATGCTCCTTTACGATTCCCCTTGTAATTGCCCAACGACATACGAATCCCCGATATACGTTCGTGGAACCCAACGGGACTAACAATAATTGTCCGGATCAGAAAACGCGGCCTCGCCATTGCCTCTTAATCACGCCTAATGTCGCTTAATCGTGCTAATCGCTCCAAGAACCATAAACTAAGGTACCACGACGTTTACGGGAATCCGCGCGCGCTTACCGAGATAGCGACGAATTTAGCGAAACTAAATGAAAACGTCGATGTTTCTAATTTATTCCCGGATGCTATTATAAACAGCAACGTCGATAACCCCAAGTAACCGAGTAGCGTTATGAATTTCTTTAAGGTGAAATGAAACTCGCCGAGGAACTTGATCGACGTAGGTGAAAAAGATTTTTCTAAACACCTACGTTGTCGACGTTCGCTTTTATATTGACATCTGCGTAGAATTATACCGAGCATTGTACTAAATGGCATCCTTCCATCTGTCGTTTTGGTAGGCCTGCCGATGGAAAAGGAATTAGACTGGAAAGGATCAGAATTTGTCGTTTATTGTCCCGATATCTCGAACGGAACGAATTTTATAGCTAGCAAGCTCGGAATCGCTTCTTTGATAGCGTTCTCCCTGCGCAGTGGGCAGAACCTCCCGTATCTCAGGGTTTTACGCTACCCACGGTTCATTATTCTTTCTGCAACCGCTTCCAGCGAATGCCAGAGATTTCCACGCACCCAGGGCACATCCTGTCGAGATCCTGGAGCAAATCGAGCGAGGAGGGTGCACGGCCTTTCCCGATCTTTCAGTCCTTCATCCTTGACCTATCGTTATTAGACTCCCCGCTCTTTTTCTGACTCCCTTTCCAATACCCGGAGTTTCCTTGATTACAAAACCCCACGGCTCGTACAGTCCGTTCGTTTTCAATTGTTTTCCCTTGGTGGTCTGAAAACAGGTCGTTATTCCTGCCTACGAGGCTTTAGGAATGTCGCAAGAAAAACGATGACATGAAAATGATAAAAATTGAGAAACTCATATCAGCTCTTAAGAAATTTTAACCGTCAATTATTTTATGACGACAGAATAGTGGTATGTCGACCTCCCACCCCTACTGAGGGGTGATGAGCCACCCCTAATTAATTAGTTACGTTTGTCTTATAATAAAAAGTGTAAATGACACGTAATCTTCGAACGAATGCAATAAAAATTCATGTAAACAGCATTTCATAAACATGGTGCTCTAAAGTGTCACCATAGTGATAATTACCCCAATGGGAAAGTAAGTTCAGTAGGGCTCGTCGACCGTTCATTGGGAAAAAAAAAAAAAATCTTACAAACTTGCCGTTTAGTAATTATTCTAAATTCGATTGATTTCTTTTCTTCCATTTTTACCATCCAGAGATAAGATATCGAGTCGTTGAACTTCTGCTCCTTTCGTTCTCTCTTAGAGAATCCTGGCCGCGAGGAGAAACCGCTGATCATTCTGGGCCAAAGTGGATCGTAAAATGCAATTATCCGTTACAATGTTGTCCGTCAACGCTTCGGCAGAAGTAATTGCGTGAAAGTTCAGTGGCGCGATCGATTTTTCAAAAATTCCTTCCTTTTTGCCTCGCGATATCTTCCATAACTACGGTCGGCTTTCTCTTACGTTCCTTTTTACCTTAAATTTGCACTTCTCTCAGGCTCCGCGACAAGAATTCCCGCGATCACGTTAAACGTCCCATTTTAAAGGGAAATTGCGAGAAATCATTATGCACTCCGCATTTTGAAAAATCCTTCCTCCGCGTTAACCTCACGCTATCACCCAAGTACGGTCAACCTTTCCTAACGATTTTATCCCGTATAGGAAAACGCGCACTTTCCAAAGATGCCTTTAAAAGACTCTCGCCGATTCATAATCTCCCTTTAAAACGTGCTATTTATCGCCTCGACATCTCGAGGGATATCGGGTCGATCGTTCGAGAGCAGGAAATCGCCGCACTTATTGTTGGCCGTGGGCGGATTTATTCTCAGGCATCACCCTCGAAATATATAATAAATCCTTCCGGGAGATAAAGTGCAGGATCGAGTCGATGGTCATTTTTCCCCGAGAGCTCACGATCGAGGTTGTAATTTTCTCGCTTGGTCGAAACGCTTCGTCGTCGCGACCGTAAAGTCGGTCGCGTTTCCACGGGAGGAAAATTATGCAAATCCAGCTGTGGCATTTCGCGGAATATTCGCGGGCCGGATGCTGAATCGACGATCGACTCGCCAACTTCGAGACATACATATTTTTGCTCGCAAGAGCGTTATTTTCTCCTAAGGGCTTCATTGAGAGAAAAATTTCACTTCTCGGCGAAATTAATTACTCGCGACAGTCTAAATGTTGCTCGCTAAAGAAATTTCATGGCTCCAGTAAAATTGACTCTGTAAGAATCGTCTGTATTGGAACCCAAACGAAGGCAAGTTAATATCAAGTGAACATAATTTTGCGCAATGAATCTCATATACAAAATTGGTCTCGGACATTAAGATTATTAATGAAATTCACTTTTACAGATGCGTGAGAAAATCCTCACGTTCGACTCGAAGAGCACTGGGCGTGACCTGGCATTCCTCTCTTCTTCCTTCAATTTGAATAAATATTCCACTTTACACTTTAAGAGAGGAGAAATAGGTATATATTGCTCGCCGAGAGTGCCTCGATGCCAAGAGATTACGGTGATTTTGTTCACGGTCCGAAGATCTTGATGAAACTGTTTTATGAAATATTCTAAGTAAAAAAAAAAAAGAAGAAGAAAATACCACACGCTGACACGTATCTCGTTCGTTTCGTCTAAAAGATCATAGGAATCCAATTTAATTGATTTCGATATAAATCAACCCTTTCGATACCTGTAAATATGCGATGTTCGATACGCGGATTCCCATTTCCGAGATATAGGTTTATATTGAATTTAATTTATATAATGTTTATATACACACAACCCCCTCCCCATATTCACACGCGTCGTCCTGAACTGTCAAACGTGTAATTGAACATTCCTTCTGAATTTGTACCCGTAAGATTACTCTTCTGATTGGCCAAATGGTCGTGCCATCCCAGCAAATTCATCCTATCAATTTTGGATCTTTCACGAGACTCACCCTGTATATTTGTCCCGTAAATCAACTTACACCTTGCCCAGTGCAAGGATACCGAAGATAAAAATTTATACAGATTCACATACATAGGTGACACATGGGGAGAAACGTACACGCATGTGGAGAGGGTGGAGAGAGAAGGTGGGAGAACGAGGAAAAGAAAACTGAAAGAAGGATCGTATAAAAATTCCAATCTCCTTTTAGAGAAACTTCGGACTCTTAAAAAGTCGGACGGATGCTGTAATGTACGTTGGGAGGTTCGAGATAAAAAAAGGAATTCACTTCGGATGCAGATTCGCGTGAATACTTGCGCCGAGAGTGCATGCTTTCTGGCACTCGAGTGCGAGAAAGCTGCGAAACGTTCCCACGGTCGAGAAATAGTCGCCGGTTAATGTTGCCTTAAATCATCCTCGGTGCCGTGACGCGTCGAATTTTCGATTTGGTAAAAAGACGCGAGCGAAGATTTCTCCGAATTAACTGCATCGTGTTCGAAGACGCGATGCATCGTTCCAAACAGAAATGGATTTTGCGCAAATTCGTCGACGAAAAATCTTACCTTGTGATTACGCGGCTGTTTGGAGAGGTTGCTCTTGCCGTTGATGAGGACATTATCATTAAGGAACGAGACGTCGCAAGGAGATGGCGGCCTCTCGGTCATTTCCCACTCTTCCTCATCCGTGGTCGAGGCGTCCAAGGTAGCATCGAGGACGATGATGCCTCCTTCGCCGACCTGTAACAAAAGTTTCGATTCATCAAAACCTCTGTTCCTATTATCCTAATTTCGAAACTACATAAGTAACGATTTACGAACAAGACACTTTATTTTTAAGGGCGATGGATAGAACCGTCCGAAACCTTGACATGACTGGTGAGCACCTAGGAACTATCCCGACACTTAGAAAATTTGGATTTTCGTAAAAAGTTTTTTAACTTAGTCCAAACCATAAGCCCTAATACGAGATATGAAAGTATCAAGATAAGTTAGAACGCAAATGATATCGATATTGGGGATATAAATCGTCGGGAGGTTTAGCGTTAAACCGACAACTATTCCGAGACGATATAACGCGGGCATAGGCTTGCCAAGAGCGTGACTCGTAAACCGCGATTCTGTTACAATACACGTCATCCATTTCCGCCTACTCTGTTTAAACAAACGGAGAGCGTGATTCACGGTCTAGCATTTCACTGACCGCGGTCGGCTAAGTTGACCGGGCCATACTCTACATGGCCGATTTATAGGAGACACGGGTGTGCGTTGGAATATATATACACTTACGCGAGGCGCATTCGAGTCGCACCTGCAGGTGCATCGGTCGTCGAGTACATGCGCGCGTCGATGCGCGGGACAGTCGGTAATGCGCGCGCCGATGCGCGGGGCAGTTGGTAATGCGCGCGCACGGGCAGCAGTCGCATCGCGCGTCGAGGCCCGACCGTAGGGTTCAAGGTCCACGGCCGGTGATACCAACTGGACGGAATAATGGAGGAAAAAAACGACATGGGAGTTTCTCATGGAGTCACGGACCTCGTTCCACAAGTTCATTGCCGTTTGCACGAGACTCTCGCCACAGTTTACCATTCGAGCGCCGCGATATTATTCCCGGCGTTCACTAGCGACCTTTTCAGAAGTGATCTGTCCTTACGCAACGGCAACGCTTCCGTACGACTCTAACGCAGTCATGAACTTAACCTAGAGTACATTTTTCAAGGTTTCGATAATAGCGGGCTATATAAGCCCGTACGTGCAACGGATTACTTCCCAGTCACGGGTTTGTCCCGTGGCAACAGCTGACTAGGGTAACGGACAGCTGTGCTTAATATTTACACTACGGACAATACGGAGATTTAAATTTAGGGATATGATATTCGAAGAGCACATAATTTTTTGACCAATTCTACGTATTTGTTTTTATCTTATTGCATTGTTTGCGAAGAGAACGTCCTAGCGGTTTTGGCGATGAGTCTCCTCGCTTTGACGTAACATCGTCGGGAGCAAGAATCCTCGAGTTTCGGTTTCAGGCACGTTTCAGTCAGGTATTCCTGATTGCGGTAGATTCGTTCCGGTTTCGACAGGCCTTAACTAATCGAAATTGGATGCCCTATCGATCGGTCACTCGCACTCCTCTCCTTTCCCAGCGAGTCCGCGATTACCCCACGAAAACGAGAAAGTATCGCCAATCGAGATGGCCCGAGCGAGATTTTGTTCTCCGGGCGGATCGCCGCGATTTCCCCGCAGCGGAATCTCGATTACGGTTTCCGTCGCGACATCCCTACCATTAAACGCGAACGTGGGCATACCGTTTCAATAATCCGCTCCAATAATAATACATACATTGGCAAAAATGTGCGAGATAAAGACGAATGTTTTTTACTTCATTGGATGACAATTTTGTACCCGAAGCATTGCACATATCGATATGAACCTTCAGCGATATTTTTTACGAAAGCGGTCGACGGAAAAATGTCAAGCCACGCAAGCGAAGTGAAATATCAGCAATTGCATATCTCTGTATTAAATGTATCGATCGGTTTCGATCATAGCTTAAAAAAACGCAAAAAAATAGTTCAATCTCAATGACACTACTCATTCAAGAAGTTCAGAAAACGACATTCATTGTCCAGTTTGACGCGCCAGGCTAAACATCGCGGATAATGACCAAGTCGGGGTTTCGCCCCTCCCTATATATGTATATATTTTGCGCGAAACTCTACCGAGTTTCTTAATTTCTTTCATTTCCCATTCCGATTAAAATCCTAGATTCTAGTCTGACTTTAGGTTAATTTACGAGCCGGCCTCGTTTCGCTCGGCGCGGAAGTCGATCTCCTTCCGATCGATCCCGGACAACGGTCGGTCCCGCCGATTCGAGAGGAGAGAGGAGGAACACTTTCTCGAGACTGGAGCGACGCGAAATTCCGCGTTCCGGAGTCTCGGACCGCGAACCGCGGGAACTGAACCGGAAACCGAACACCGTTCAATTTGCCTCTGGTCCCGAGTTTCCGCGAAATCCCAACAGATTGAATACCAATCATTTTTCATTGCCTTCTCGATATTGCGCTATGGTTTTTCTTATTAACATTGAGTTGATTGCCAGTGATTTCAGAGTGACTTCGGACCGATCGCAAACTTAAAAGGATTCCTATCGATTTTAAATTGACTTCGAATGATTTTAGGCGATTCCGGAGAGAATTCCAGGGACATTCAATTGATTCTGATCTATTTCAACACATTTCAACACATGAATAGTTCCTTGCTTGAAACATCACCCAATAAAAAGGTTAAATAAATTAAATTATGCTCATGATGGCATAAGCCCTTGTTATCGCGAGGAACGTGAACTTTGTCATTGGTATTATCAAAACCATTGTTGGGCTGAGCTTTTTGTAAGAAAAGCGGATTTATGCCAACCCTGTTCATAGGCAGACACAACTCCAAAAAAGAAACTAGGATTTTACAAAAGAGGTTTATAGCCAAAACAAACGGTTAAGCACCAAATTAGTGAACAAACACATTGACGTTTATAACAGATTTAAGTGTCCCAATTTTTCCCACAATCGAGCACGCGACCCGATTTTTCCCAGACACGCGTCATAGTCCTCGACTCTGGTGCCGTACATCTTAGAAAGTACCAGACTCGTGATTAACGTTAACGATGTTATTCGACTATTCAAAGCAGATGAATTTACGACGACCAATCTTTAACCGAGTGGATTTACCGACAAAGTTTCGCGTATAGTTCCTTCCATTAATAAAGAATACGATACGATAACGAATGCTAATGATGGTTTGTATCGACTACAATTGAATGGGTTAAAAATAGTCGAGTAAAATGAGAGCAGCGACGCAGGATCGTTTCCTCAGGAAGGAGGACTAATTGTTGTACTCGGTTGTGTTGTGTAGCAAGAGATAGGCGAGGGAGGTGTAAGATATCGAAGCAAAACAATCGTCCCCGTAGCGTGTACGGATGTTTCTTTAAACACGACGGCGTGTTTTGAATATCAAATGTACATTAAAAAGTCCGCGCACGCCGCTCCTTCCAGGTCTCTCAACTCTGTCCAAGGTGGCGACGAAAGTGAGAAGACAATGAAATGTCTCGAAAAAGAAATGACTTTTAAATGAGCGGAAAGAACTTACCTTTGGCTTTTCTTGCTTTCTCCGTATGATCAGACCATCGTTCTCAATGTAGTCCGGAACGTCTTTACGGTTGCTGAAGTTGAAGACCATCGTGTTGTTCTGTTGGTTCCAGGGTTTCGTGTCCCACAGTCCTCCACTACTCGATCCTGACTTTTTAACAGGTTGGATTTCGTCGGCACTCTTCAGGCTCACCACTACTTTCGTCGGTTGTTCTATGCTCTTGACACGATTTATCAGGTTTTTTTCAAGTTCTCGATTGCTCAAATTTTGCTGTGGAAGTTGAGTCTTGGTCGACACCAAGGGGCGGATAATGCCAATTTGTTTCTGCGGCGGAGAGGACGATTCGGACTTCTGGCATCTTATAGTTTTCGATTCGTTGCCCTGAGGATAGGCAGTCGTTGTCGTGGTTCGAACAAGCCCAAGACTGGAAATAGCCCCGATAGGTTTTCTCTCCAAGGGTGGACTCGTCGAATCCTCTCTCCTGTCCTTCGACGCCCTTCCACTCTTTTCAGGCTCCGATCTCGATTGTAACCTGGAAACCGATTCAGTGCATTCTGTATTCGCTGCCTCCACGCTGGAAGTCCCTAGCGGAAGTTTGTTTTTTGCTTCCAAAGACGTTTCGACACTCACAATACTGTCGTTTGTCGTTGGTTCTCGGGCACTCTGCTGACCATTCTGCATGACTCCTGGCAAGTAGCTCTTACCGGTAGTTGGTTCGTTGTTAAAGCTAAATTGGAAAGTGGTGCCAGCCTTACCGATGTTATCTAAAGCCAACTTGGAAATAGTCCTTGGTCCATCTATGACCTCTTCTTCTACGTCGTTTGTCGTACTTGTAGTGGGAAGCGGAGAATCGATTCGATCTTTGCAATCTCCATCGGGGCTCTTCGGGATCTCTTGCGAAAGTAACTTAGAACCGTCACCACTGACTTTAAGGACCTCCTCTTCGACTTCGTTCGAAGTTGGTTTCGTCGATTCTGACGAGGAAAACTGTCGAAGGTTTTCCTTATTTGGGCTAGATGGTGATAATTTTGAAATTGGGCTGGAACTCTGTCTAAAAATGCATTCCTTCTTCGGTGAACCTGGAGACGGAACTCGAGGTGGCGAAACACGTGGAGAGTTTGATACCGGTGTTGACGGAGGAGATTTCACGCTCATCTCCAAAGAGTTTTTTCGCTTATTGATAGACGGTTCAGGACTTGGAGCCGGTGAAAATCTTAACTTGTAAGATGGTTCTGGAGAGGGAGAAGGAGACAACGCCTTTTCAATCTGCTGAAATTTGCTAACTACCGACGACACGGACTGAACAATTGGATCCGTAATAACACCGTCGTTACGATATTCGTCCTGGTTCAGCTGCCTCTCGATCATTTCGGCAGTGGATTTCTGAGACACAATTTTCTTGGGTGACCCAGGGGTCTTTGCGGTTCCATTTATAAAAGGTTTTGGCTGTAGCGGGGGCTTGGGAACAATTTTCTTCTGATTCTGAGCTTTAAAGGTATCGTTAATGGTTTTGAAGGTGGCTACTTTAGCGGCGACTTCACCCTTGGGTTTCAACTTCTTAGCAGAACATTCAAAGATGCGCATCGTGGTCTTGACTAGATCCGGGGGTGGCCTCTCCGTTTCTGCCAACACTGGCTTGATCCTCTTCGGCTTATTAAGCGGTTTCGGCCTCTCGGAGTCCCCGAGACGACTCTCGATCTTCACCGAGGATCTATCTATCAAGACTATGTGATCGTTGACGGGTTCTTGTCTCGTCGCACTTACCACGGGCAGCCTTCCATCGTCGTTTACGATGTTATATCTCAAAAGGGTTTCGACGCTCCTCGCCCTTTTCATGGACTCATTGCCCCTGGCAGTGTTCCGGTACCTCTCCGCTTTGCCGCAAACCCCTCCGATGTTTCTTTTAACGTATTTCCTGCAGGACTTTTCCTCACTTTCATCCTCCCTGTCCAACAAGTCCTCCAAACTCGCCGCCCTCCTAAATCTCTGAACGGACGCGCGACTTCTGTTCGTCTCACGGAGAGTGAGGTTAAGATACTTGCTTTTGAGTTTATTAACGATACCGGGACCGTATTGAAGTTCCTCAGAGCTGTCGCTCTCACAGTCCTCACCGATTTTGACAACGTCCTTCTCCCAGGTGCCTCCATTTCCAACTTGATTGTTAATCCTCTCCACAACCGGCGAGTTACATTCCCGCTTGCTAGCGCCCCGTGACGTGCGACCATTTTCGACGGTCAGCACGTCACCGTCCAGCTTGCCGAGCACCCTTTTACTTGCCGTCCCGTCCATTCCGGTCTCGTTCTTTTTATCCGTCTCCTCGGCTCCGTTGACGCCACTCAGAGCATCCTCTGAGTCGGAACAAAGCGACGCATCCGCCTCGAGACGCATGTTGTACGCGACTGAAGACCGAAGCGCCACGCTCTCCGCGACGGGTGGCGCGTTTCCGACAGGGGCCGTGGAGGTGGCGCCACGCGCGCCCTTTAAGATGGCCGTACAGGCGGCGTTGTCGCGCGTTCTCAGCGCCCCGCCGCCGTCGGCGTCCCCGTTTCCGCTCCCGGTACAGCGATCCTGGGTTACTGGAATTCCAGAAATCCCCGATATCGAGCGCGTGGCGAGCGACGGGTCGGCCGGATCCGCCGTCCCCGTTAAGCCGATCACTGCCGAGCACAACTTAACGCTCGCCCCGTTACTCGCGAGCACCTTGCTCTGCTGTCTGCGCCGCTGGATCAGGTCCCGCTTCCACTGCGGCACGGTGCCGTTCTCTGTGCCCGAAGCCATCTTTCTCCGCGCACCTGCTCGGCTCCCAACGAACCACCCGAGCTCGCCGTCCTAGACTCGCGAGACTCACCGTTCGGCAGAGGCGACTCACGGATGCGGCCGCATCTCTTTCTTTCCCTCCCTTTCTCTCACTCTTTCCCCGACACCCCGTGAGACCGATGCCACTCTTCCGCTCCCGCTCCCTCTTCGGGGCCCCCGATCGCCTCCCACGATGCGGACGACGTCCCTTTTCTCTCGCGACGCTCCGCCCGTCGGTTTATGGCGATCGATCGGCCGAGCGAACTCCAGGGATCGCCCCGGACGCGGATCGTCGAGCTCTCGTCCGAAACGCGCACGGCCTAATCGGACGGGACACACCTGCCCGATCGTCTCTCTCCCGGCGTTCGCTCGCCGCGTTGCCCCGTGGTAAACCCTCGCGCGCGACACGCTCGCGACACGCTCGCCCGAGAGAGACGCGCGCTCGCCGGGGGATCGCTCGACTGGGCCGGAGCGCGCGCGTGCGCACGTATCAACCGGCGGCGCCCCCTCCAGCGCCGAGCCGACACCCTGACGTCACCCGAGTTGGATCGAGCACCCGCCGAGCGGTCGACTGCGGCCGACCGCGTAGCAGACCCGGGGAGCGCAACTACCGCCAACTACCGCCAACTGCCGCGACGCCCGCCGCGACACCCGCGCACCTCCGGTTTATCGAGGAACGGGGATTTCGCTCAGGGTTGGGTAAGTATGATACGTCAAGTACTATACGTGATTTTCTACGTGTATATTGCGACGTTTAATACGTCCCTTATTTTATACGCATGCGCAAAGTACATTACGCCCTTCTCTTTTTAAATAGAAAATAACGAATGTAATTAGAAATTTGATATTAAATAGGGTTAGGTCGAAAGAATTTTGAATGCAAACCCGCTCCGGATGAGTCTGAAGTACAAGATTCTTGAAATTAAAATCTCGCCCAAGTAGCTCGAGAAATGAGATTTAAGTGCCGTTCACGTGAACTGCTACGAGCATTCGCAACGCCTTCTCGAAATTATTTCCCAGGGTTTTGCAATTACCCCGGAAAGTATCTTTGCTACGCGGAAGTTTAGCTTTTCCTCGATAATCTGTGAATTTCTTTAAACCGTAAAAAGCGCAATAGCTAAACCCTAATCGGCAAAACCGCGGCCGAGACCGATCGGAAGCTGTAATTAGTAGTCGGTTAACAGTGTCGATTAATGTTACGCTCTTGGACCATGAAACACGGCACGCTTAACCATAATCTATTGCCGTTCCCTAATTCATAGAATTACGGGGAAGTAAAGATTTTTGCAGCTTTTGTGCAATATTTGATTACGGGGAAGTAAAGGGAAGCAGTAGATGGGAAAAAGCTACGTGAAAATCCCGGAATATTGAATCTGTCTCTTAACTTCCTAGTCTTACGACTTTTTTGAGAAACGAAGTTACTTCCCTAGCGGCACAAAATATTTCTCTTATATAGATATACAAAACGGTTCAAAAATATTCAAATCACACGTTTTGCTTAGGACTTCAATTATTACAAGCTAAGTTAAGCCTCGTACCCTTCTCGTGGACGAGCGCCCTCGGTACCGGTACAACTCGTAATAAAACGAGGAACAAAATGGCGACAGGAGTCTAATCCGTTTGTAATTCGAGGAAAGAAAGTCCCCGCATGCAGCGAAGATCTAGGAATCGGAACGAACGATGACCCAAAACGCGGAATGCAGAGCAGTTGCAGAACGGCTTCCTCGTATTGCTCGACACGTGAGACGAGCGTAACATAAACATACGTAAGCGCTGACAACGTCCACGCGTGGGTGTCGTTATCTCTTTACTGGGTCGTGACATCCCGGTTTATGAAATGGCTCGCTTCCGCGCAGACCGAACGTTCAGTTTTGCCCGCTTCCGGTCGGTTTTTCCCCGTTCTCCAGGTTCGCCAGGAATAAGAACTTCCAGGGGAAACTCATCTACGAGATCTTTGAGCCACGGAGGGGGAGTATAGCCTGAAAAAGGCTTTTTTTCAGCGTTTGAGAAAAAGAGCTTCGTGGCTCTCGGTTAGAAGTAAAAAATCCTATTAAAATGGCCCATCTTACAGATTGTCTACGTAAACCAGGGTAAATGTTGCTTTTTGGGTATTGACGTTTAGAGAATATTAATGATTCTTTGTCACAACGTGTCAAGATTCCCTGTTGAGATTATAAAACGGGGGATTTAGTAAGCCTTTTTTAAATTGCGATGTTTTTTTAGAATGCTCTCAGTATTCGAAGAGAATGGCTTCATTTGAAGCAGGGCAGCCATTAAGAAGTTCCGACGAAAACTGCCCAGTTTTAGGCGAGAGTGCTCGCGTAAATCAGAGGGGAATGCCGCTCTCCGGGTGTCCGATGCCTCTTCCATTTTTTTCGTTCCTCCGGGCTGCGGCCCTCGCTCCTCCTACCCTTTCACTTTCCTCCTCGAACACGATTCTCGAGTTCCTCGTGTAGGCAGTCATAAGGTGAAGTGAAACCCCCCTCAAATCAGTCGATTCGAATAAAACACTTTTTTCAAAGGGTATTGTATCGAACCGTCTGAAACTTTGACACGTGACTCGCGATCACCTAGGAATTATCATTATATATATATATCATTATTAAAATCTCCACTTGATGTACAAATAAACTAAAAGGACTAAACGAGACAAATGATTTAACGAAGAGACATGTAGGTATAGACTCGGTAATATCGTAGTGCTCTTCCGGGCAATACCTTCATCCTTTTCTTACAATTAGTCTGACGATATTGCGCCGTTCCGTTAGCAAACGATATCCTCACTTGGCTGAGAGGTGCGGTACCGTCAACAAAAAAGCGATAACGAAGTACTTTAGATTACGTCCGTACATTGGTCTAATGACATAGTGTTATCATCCAGGTACCTCGAGCATGTTTATTGGATTCGATGTTGGAATACTACCATTAACGGAACATTTAATTTTCTCCTAAGAGAAACGATTCTTCTTCGGAGAGTCTAGTATTTATTTCCTGAATCTTAATTACTTTCTAAAGATCCGGCAAAATGACTACACCTCCTTTCAGCTCATTCTAAATGTCTTTCAGGTGATATGAAAGTGATAATAACTGCGTAACTAGCTGAACTGTCACGATGAAATTAGCCACAGTCGATCGCCTCTCGCTACCAGCCCCTCACATTTCCAGTTCGTCCATAAACGTAATTCATGCACGTAGCTAGGCGCGACTCATGCGTGCATGTACGCATATATGTCCGCATTACGTCCATACATTACGGGAATTTATTACGTCCACGTACGTGCGTAATACGTGCACTCATGCACATGCGCAGCTGCGCGCTGCTGCATATTGCCGAGAGCCTGCGAAAAATCCAAGATGTTGGATGAAATTTCATTGCAAATTGAGTAAAAAAGATTTAATTAAAAATTCCAAGTTATGGAATGCACGAGTCACAGAGTTTCGATATTCGAAATTGATTCGTGTCATCGGATGATATAAATTGTACCGCTGCATCGAAATGTCGGATGTTGAATAAAATGGCAAACAAACGACATATGACAGATATGAATAAATCGATGAAAGTTTTGGGTATATTGCACTCCATCGCCAGGAATCGAAGTATTATAGGTACATTCGCGTTTTCTACGAGTCCAGGAACCTGTAACAAGCGTTGAAATAGCTGCGTGACGGGAACGGTGACCATCCGAACGATCGAGGGAAAGTGAACCGCTGACCGGACTCTATTGAAATCGCCCTCGTACATAACATCACCGCACTCGCGTAACAACGACTTGTAAAGGAACTCACTTATATGTAAGTGTCTCGCAGAACTCTATAACGAGTAACGTGGACACTTTCTATTCTGACATTTGATCAAATGTAGGATCGTTACACATTTCTCAAAGATACGTTTCCTTTTAAATCCTTTTAGAAGCAACTCTTGAAGGAATACTTGCAATCGTTCACCTACAATTTTCGCAGCTACGGCAAGGACACATTGTACTAAGATATTATCAACCATAACGATTTATTTTCTAAAGCTGGTTGTTTCGTAGAGGATGCACGAATTCGTAATCTAATCCACTTATCACATAACATCTTGTGGATTTTGCAACGTGCAATGCGGACTCATCTTATCTCGGTACATGTCCAATGTGTCAATGACACGTTTTCCTTCAAAGCTGATCGTTTCAGGGAATATTTACGGATTTATATACAGGTGCAGATTTCACTGAATCCCATCGACGTGTACTGTGACACCTACTCTGACGTACGACTAAGTTGTTATTAAGCTTTCTAAAAACTGACATTTTCAAGGAAAAGAAAGGGACTCGTGCAGTGATTCGTTCATATGGCGTCCGCTGGATTCCGGGATACAGCAAACATTTTAATTAGCGTAATGGTTAATTTGCCATGCTAAAAGTTGTAACACCGCGTTGGTAACTATGTTGTCCCGTTGGCAACCGTTTTCATTAGCTTTTAGCTTCCCAACAATAGCTTGTGGGGGGAATCGCTGAAGCGTTCCGTGGTTTGCGGAATGGCACTAGAGAAATCATCTTTATCGATGGATAATTTCTCGCAGATAGAAATCGACTCTCGCCCTATGATCGTTCGCTTCGATTATCCGATTGCACGCTTATCGGTAGATCGTCGAAGTATAAATTACGAATGGACGGTCTAATTTCAATATTTATACAAGAAAGTCAGAACACGATGAAGAAGATTCCAAATACTAGAGGTGACTTCTATACGTATTGGTCGTCCAACAAATGACTGGAAAGTCCCCGGACTTGAAGGTAATCATTATGTGCGTTAGATGTATGGAAAGGGGACATTAAATGAAAATCTTTCGACGCCGCATTAACCGGCTTCACGAGCCGAGCACTAGAAATCGTAAGAAACTTGAACAGGCGATTTAGAATTTATCGTCCGGCATATTCGTATTCGAGTATTCCATTGGCCGGAGATAGTGGGAAAGCAGTGCCGCATTTTCAGAGAGCATCGAACCAAGCGTCAAATATCTGTGACGAGCTCTACTTTCGACAGAATAAACTTTATTGAAATTGGTATGATACTAATGTATCTTCTGAATAACGTTCGTTATATGCCATGGTATTCCTGTGTTATGTAATTGTAACATAGGGCGTTGGTGGGTAGTGTAGAAGTTAGTACGCATTGGGCACTAAAATGGATTCAAACGTGGTCCTGTTTCACCCCAGCATGCCGACGGGTTCTAAACGCGTTCAAGCACGGCGGAAACGGCCAAAGCCGGCAACGCCGCGAGCTGATTTACCGACGCAAGCGTCGTGGCGCCGACGCGGACCGGCTCGGACACGTCCCGGACCGTGCGGAGGGGCATCGGGGATTCGCCGGTCCGTCCGGTCCGAGCTTAGCCAAGATGGCCGCCGGTTCTCGATGCGTACGGAACCAGTTCCGTAGGGAACCGGTTTGGAACTAGTTCTCTTCGATTTTTCGGCCCCCCGCGAGCAAGCGGTGGCCGCGATCGGCACTCATCGGGCGTCGCTCGCGACGGAACCAGGCCCCGTGTAACGTCGGCCACTGCAAATGGCGGAGAACAAGAAGGTGAATGGTAAGGAAAATCGCCGAGCACAGCCGAGCTCCGTTTTTGGCTGTTCCGCCAAGTCGTGCACGGATCACCGCGAGCAGCGGGCCGAGGCCCGATCGCGCACTGGCGCTTCATCCGTTTTCCTTGCTTTCCTTCTCTTTTCTTGTAATCTTGCCCTTCGATCCTCTTTTTCCTTGTTTTTCGCTCTTTTCTTTTATTTTATCCCTTTATCTCATTTTTCCCTGAACGCGTTTTCCGCGTTTTTACATGTAACGACTCTGGATTTCTACGCATCCGATTCGCCTGAAATTGAAAACACTTGGCAGTTTCTTTTGAATCGTTGAATGTGAAAATTAAATTTCGTCGAATTTTGTCGACTTCGGGCTAGTTTGGTCAAGTTCGGTCACGTTTGGTCGGGTTACCCATTGAAATGATGGAAAATGGAGGTGGTTGAAACTCGGTAGTCAGCCACCTGTGTTCGGTGCGGTGACTAGGTTAGGTTAAGTTGGTTAGGTTAGACATTTAAAGGTCGTTGGTGTTTTTTTTTTTTAAAGAACTCGTTTTAACTTAATAAGATTTTAAGAGTAGTTATCATTTTGTATTCTTTAGAATTTGTAGGATAAAGTAAATTTGGCTATCAATAGAGATTTAATATTGTTGAAATATTTTGAAATATGTCAGTATATTTTACAGTGTTTATTGGTATAAATATTGATATTAATACATGGTTTATTAGTATCAATCTTAAGTCACTTTTAAATGTAAGCACAGTTTCTATACCTGATTTTTGTTAATATTCTTTTTGTAGCAGAATTATGTTAATTAATTAAAGTTCTTACGTACATGTGTACTTTTTAGGAGCTACACTAGAAACCCAGATGGAGATCAAAGTGGAGCCAGCCATGCAATGTTACATCGAAGATGATAATGAAAATGGGTTCCCTGGCTTTGAGAATACTAATACCATACCTTCAAGTGCAGATGTCGGAGCACTCAATTTATGGACGAGTAAAGCTACGACGTGCCTTATTACGCAGTACAAAAAATATCGCTCAATGGTAGGGCAGTCCACGCAGATTCGGAGCCTGCGTGAGATGTTTGAGATGATTTCCTTAGAGATGCAGAAATTCGGATTTTACTTCAGCCCTCAAAAGTGCGAGAATAAGTGGAGAGTTTTGGAGCGTAAGTATAAGAACCTTGTATTTAGAGAGAGATTAAAAAAGCCGGGCAGAATGCGACATTATGGACATTGGGAGCACAAGAGAGCACTGGATGAAATATTTAATGAAAAAAAGAGACATATGTACTTGGATGAAAGTGATTTTCCACCTCCCAGTGGCTCTGCCAAATTTGCCATCATTTTGCCAAAACCATCGGATGAACAAAGTAATAACACGGCATCGAATAGAGGGAATGACGATCCTTTGGCTTGTTTAGCAACTGATGTTTCTGCAGGCAGGAAATTAGATGAAGTGCAAGATCATAAAGGGCCCTTGACGATACTATTTGAAAAGTTTCTCGAAGAGATGACAAAAAATTTTGCTCTTGCTGAACGGAACAAAGAAAGAAGGCATAAAGAGGAAATGTCGATGCGCCAAAGCGAACTAGAAGTACAAAAAAAGCTTTTAAAGTTAAAAGAGCAGAAAATGGAGCTCCAAAAATGCCAAATTGTTGCTTCAGCCCAGCATTTGCACTTAAACATGCAGTGATTACATCTGAACTATTTGTGATGAATTGGTTTTATGCCATGCCTAGACGGTTCACCTTCTATGGTTAGCACGTGTTTGCAGTCACGATTAGTATAGATTATATTTCTTCGTAAACAGAAGTACCAATATTTAAATGAATGTGTATATTATTTTTAAAAAAACTTTAATAAATCGGTTTTGTACTAAGTTTGGAACTTGCCACCTCTAAGAGTTGGGTTCTAAACGATCGTGGAAGAAAATAACTAGTGGCGCCATCTTACAAACTGTCTTTTGATTTCATTCGTGAACAGTCCCGACTGAAGCCTCATGATCAGGCGAAACCGGTTGGTACGTAGTAACTACAATCTTTCGATAGAGTGCGCTACTTGGTTTCTTCAGGTGTTCTTGGTCACCGATGTTCAAAAGACCTTCAGGTAGATTCCTTGAAATTGAAATACAATTTTACAGATAATTCATTTATGATAGCAAATAGCACTCCCCGGACGGTAATAATTCGACGTTACATGATATTAATGTATCGTTGGAATAATATTCGTTATATATCATGTTATTCCAGTGTTATGTAATTGTATACGTAACATAGGGTGTTTGGTGGGTTAAAACCTATATTCGAAGCTTGAATTAATTGCTGATTGCAGTGCCTACACTGAGCGCAGATTTGTTACCGGTTAATCGAAAATGAAAAGGTAAACGTGTTCCTCCAATTACGTACTCCAGTGCTTATTTTAATGGTACTCCTTTTTATATCTGTCAGCCGGCTAAACAAGAATGCCGCAAAATCTCGTACACGGTAATTAACCGTGCTCATGCCTGGAATATGAGAGATCAAAGTTCCTGGCTGATTATAATTAATCCGGAACAACATTCTGTTTACCTGGCGTGCTCGCTCGTGAAGACCGGGGAACGGTTTGGAAGCTCTTTTGCGAGTCTTATCAAGGTTGTAAAGGTAATCCATAAGTGGTTATCTTTATTGAGGTCTCGAAGAGTCTTACTCTCCTGACGAGAGTTCTAACGTGACACTGGGGATAATACCAGGTGATTCCCCCGAACGAATTGTCTCCGAATTCAGTCACGTCGTGCGTTGCGGACGTGCTTTAACACACCGATGGTAACAAGACGTCCATCGATTACTTTCGTTCGTGTATACGAGCCAGACGTGCAGACCCATGACTCAATTTATTAAGTCGAGTTTCTAAAGGTTGCAATGCTCGACTGTATCCTTACTCTCGGTCATTCCCTCAAAGTTAAGGTGAAGCGAAACACGGGGAGATGCAAATTTGAACCGTACTCACTGCTTAGATTGGGATACAACGGTATTTCAAATTCTCCCCATTTCCGTGATTTATGTCCTTTTTTATGATTTTTTATCTTAGATTACGCTCGCGTGTTCCTGCGATGTACCGCTATCGACGTATCCGCTCGGTCGGACGTCGGAATCGAATCACCTCGTAAAAACTGTTCCGTGAAGGCTAATCTACCATCGGAGCGTTTCGATAACCCGCCGTAAAGATGGATTAACGTTCATCGAACGGTTCGACATAATTTCACTTCAAAACTTGCGAGAGAAGAACTCTCAAATCAATCGATTCGAATGAAACACTTTTCTTAAGGGTTTTGGATATAACTGTCGGAAAAAAAGGTTTTTCTAAATACCTACATGGCCGACGTTCGCTTTTATCCCATTCTTATGCAAGCTCATCAATTACCAGAGTGTTCTAAATTGTCGTACAATTCTCCTGACTATCCAAAACCCTTGAAAAAAGTGTTTTATTCGAATCGATTGATTTGAGAGGGGTTTCACTTCACCTTAACAGTTCCAGCCTGTTTTTGCGCATAGCGTGGGAGTGTTTTCACGCAGTTTACCAATTTTCTTTGGAATAAGTCCACATTCCAGAGGAGCTGTTGACGGGATCGAGATACTTCTCCCTGCTCGCCTGATTTCCTCTTCCTCTCTCCCCGACCCTCTCTAACGATGCCAATTCGTCGGGCTCGGTTACGAAGCCGGACTGCCTTGGTATCACCTTACGTTATCCAGTGCGTGACGATTATCCGACTGGAATTTGGAAAAATTCGTCCTCGCCGTTACGCAGAAGCGAATGGGGCAGCTGCCAGTCGAACCGCGAGTTCTCTTTCCAATCCGGCGCGACGTACCGCGCCTTACCGACCGCCGTTTTCTGTTTTGCCGACGATTGGTAATAGAGAGCATCGTTCCTTCCCTCCCAACCGTTATTTATTCGTTTCAACGGATCGTCAAAGAGTCGGTTGGTTTCGGCAACCGTGTTGCTTAGGGACGCGAATCGGTTAGTGATGAAGAACCGACCCATTTTTGTAACGGTGAGTGATAAAACATGCATAAATAGTCATTCCGAGAAGCTATTTATAAGAGAATCGCCCCTTCGTCTCCTGCAAAAAAGCTATTCGTCGATTCTAATGAAGTATAACCTCTTTGTAAACAGAGGGAAGTTAAAAAGAACTTGTCTACGTTTTTACGATAGGTCATTCCACAGCAAGTAAATTAACCCTTCAATTCATCCTACATTCTTGCAATGAAATTTTATTTTATGCTATTCTATTGTCTAGGCCGAGACAATTTATCCCGGTTGCGCGTATCATTATATCAGGGTGCAAGAGCTCGCTCTCTCTCGAGGCAGTCTTCGTTTACCGTGGCGGTTAATAGTATCGTTCGGAGACGTCGTATCGATCAAGGGCAAAAGTACGATTTTACAGTCATTTCGAGTGCTTTTCGGTAAAAAAGTGTCCGGAACCGGTTACTCCGACCCGGTTGCTCATCGGTCGCAAGTTGCGGGACCGCGCATGCGCGCGTGGGCTCGAAGAAACCGCGGCAGTTTGGATGGGTTGTGCGCAACCGAGTGCGCGCACCCGTCCACATACGACTTAGATAAATCAGCCCAGAACAGTTTGTTAACGATCTCTCGACTGCAACGGCCATTTTTCAGTACAACAAACCATTCCAGCCGAATACTTTACTCCGTATGGAAAAAAATTAATTTGGTTACAATTACTATAGGGATATGGTTCGTATCCATGGCTCTGTTAACGTCTTTTAGCACGCATGTAAATATGTAAAAGTTCTTAAGGAATGATTAAGGAATACCACATATATTACATGACGTATTATACTTATCCAACCCTGGTCATACGTACACACAGGTGTAAATGGCGCGGCAGTGCAGTGGTGCACGCGTGCACGCGTGCACACGTGCGCTCGGCTGGAATTCGGGCTCCGACGTGCTGGAGGGTGCTCGGTCGCGTTCGGGGACACTCGGGCGCGCTCGGCTCTGCTGCCGTGAGCCCGAGCGCGAAGGTGGCCGGAGTCTAGCCGCGTTCTGGCACGTTGGGACTCGGTCGCAGTCGAGCCGCGACCGTTGCGCCGCGAGGACGTCGTGAGTTATTACTCGAGGCCGGCCTTCCGGACGCCAGCTTACCTCGGCTGAGCCTCTGCGCGTAGACCGAGAGAAAACGGGCCAAGAAGTCGGGTCGCGACCTTGACCTCGGTCCGACGCTTCCCCTTCCACCCCCTCACTTGACTCCCGCAGCGTATAAGGAAATCGAGCGAACTACCGGAAGGATTTTCGACCTTCTACGAGCTGCCGCCCGTTGCGCCAATCGCGACCGAAATCGACAACTCGTTCCGGGTACTTGCGCGTCTTCCGATACGCTAGGACCTCTAGGTGCAACGTTGGAGTAACGGAAGGACTTTGCTATACGCGGTGTGTGTAGGCATAAAGTCCAATTTGTTCGTTTCCGAGTTATCCCGGGGAATATCGAAGCGGGAGGAAGGAAGAGGTATTTCGATTGCGCCGAGCGTGCGTACCGTGCTCGAGTTTTACCGGAAAATTGTCAGGGGCTCTCTAAACCTCGGGCTGCATTAATCTCCTACGGTATGACATCGAAAACTGTTTGGCTTTCACGGTGGAAATTGCCGGCTACGAGGATATCCTAGGCAGGTTGCCGAGAGAGCAATTAGCTTCCGCGTATATCCTTATCGTAAGCGTCAATGGACACGAGGCTAGGTATTAATTCGTTGCCAATTAACGGTCGCAGGGGGATCCGTCAGTTTCGAACATTCAGCCAGGAAGCGCAGGCTATGCCGAATTTCCAGGTCGGGTACCGATCGATGTGCTCGTAGGTGGCGAGATCATGCCATTTATCGCATTTAATCCCGTCGGAAGATCCTTTTGGGCCTTTATTCCCAGGACCACGGGCTGACTCGACGACGGACGACCGAGCCACTCTTTTATACCCTTGCCTTTGGGTCACGAGGGTACGGAGTTTGCTAATTAGTCTGGCCGAGTCGAAACGGAACGTCGATGGGTCGGCGGAAGCTTTGACCAGGGGGCAGAGAAACAAAGAGAAAAGGAGCGGGTTAAGGACGGAGAACGTCTTCCGGAATTAGGAGATCCTTTTTCCACCGCAAAGCCTCACAAGTGGTCCGCTGAAAGCGATCGTGGCAGTTCCCCGAACCATTCTCCCGCTCTCGTGGTCCTCGGAGTAGCCGCTGCCATTAGGCGATCCACAATGTGTTAGAGCGGTTCCAAGAAACATGCCAACTTGGCGAAGTTAAGACCGAATTTCGTAACCAGGTGTATATCGTTCCCTGCCGGCAATCGCGCTCTAGAATTCGAAGGATTCCCAGGAAGAATGAACCGTTTGCGACTTCGAGATACGGTCTGGTCGAATCTAGACGGAGCATTGGCCTTGGATGAAATGGATGAAACGTGAGTCCGTGAATTTCAACGAAATTTCACGATTAATCCCTGAACCGGTCCCGTACCGATCTACGAAACGACCCGAGCCGAGTGTTCCAGATCACGTTGCCCGAGCGAATCGCCGGGTTTTTTTTTTTTTTCGAAAGTATCTATAACGAACTCATTATACAGGAGTAGGTCCACGGGACGACCGGAAATCCCGAGGGTAATTTCCTTGCCGAGCTCGTGGACAGGTCCGTGACCACTCCGACTCGAATTTCGGTACATCGGCAACGGGGTTCGCGGTCCCCGGAGCCGCGAGACGCTTGAATCGAAGAAAAGAACGGAAGGAGAGGGAAAAGAAAGTAAGAAGAAGGGGAATAAAGGAAACCGGGTGCCCTCGACCCGAGCCGGTCAGGCCCGAGGGACCGAGAGCGTCGCCGCGGAACTTTCCGCAGGGCGGTCCGACGAATTTTGAGGGTAATTTGCGAGGAGTCCGCGGAGTCGAGCATCTCGATTCTTTTCGCGGGCGAGAGGAGAAGCGCCCTGGAGAGGCTGAAAGAGCGAGAGGAAGAGCCGGCGTGCATCCTTTGGGGGCCCGAAGGCCCAGTCTAAGTAACAGTACTTCTTTGGCTTCGGAGTAAGGAGCCCCTCTCCGAAGAACGGGACCCACACTCCTCGACTCCGCGCTCTCCCTCTTTCTCGCCGAGTCCCCGCTCGCGAAGCGGCTCGAGCGAGTCGAAGCGGTCCGGTCAGTCGTAGCCTCGGCCTGCCGCGACGTCGGGACGAGCAGCGAATCCGAGCGCGTTCGGTGGATACCTCGGAGCAGGAACGGCGAGGAGAGGACCCCGTAGGGGCGAGGTCACCGACAGGACGCGGTCGAACCAGGAAGGACTGCGGAACGGGGCCGTGGTGACCCTGGAACCAGTGGAGGCGGTACCTGGGAGTCGAACGTCCAGGTCTTTGTGATTACCGTGTGACCCGTTCGGTCGTGAGAGCGATTTGAAGGGAATTTTTAGCCGATGAGGAATTAGGAACCGGTGGAAGAGGAATCGAGGACGACGGAGTCGGTACCTGGTGTTGGCTGGACATGGGAGTCGGACGTCCAGATGTTCTTTGTGATTACCGTGTGGCCCATTCGGTCGTGAGAGTGATTTGAAGCGGATTTTTAGCCGTAGATGCGGATAAAGGATCGTTTGCTGGTCTGTTCGGGATAACCCATCCTGCGGCAAAGGACCAAGTGGGTGAAGAGAAGAACTCTGATGACGTTAAACACTCGCAATCCTCCTGGGGTCCGTTCTTCAAAGGACGATTCGATTGCGAGGCTTAAATGTTAACACGGGGAAGGTTTAGGGGTAAAAAGGAAACCGGCGAGGATCTTTTCCGTAAAGTGGAGCAGCTACGGTGGGACTGGAGAACGGAAAGGGTAGTTGGTGCCAGGAAGACTGGTGGACTACGTCTTCCGTGTGAAGGTGTACTATTAAGGGCGCTGAATAGAACAGGCATTCTCCCTATGCGAATGGGAATTTAAAAAAACTTTCGAATAATGTTGCGCCAAAGATAAGTACAACATGTAGAGAGGAATCAATACTTGTGTACTAACGAAGACAGCGGATACTTCCACATCCGGCTTTCGAGCTCGATGTGAAACAACCACGAAAGAACTCGAAATCCTCGGAGAGGCATCGACGATGTAGAATCGTCGTGTGATTTGTCATTCGAGTATTCGAGTTTTGTTCCCCGTGGACGAGTCTCTTTGTTAAGAGTCTCTTTATGGCATACGTTACAGACGTAAACACAAGAAACACGTTGAATACGATAAAGGTACGGAATACGAAATCACGTCTTCGAGAGAAAGAAGGATAAACGGAAAAGTTGAACTCGGTTATCGCCGATTATCTTTGATAAACATTCGCTACGGCGCAGTCAATTCTCTATAGGTAGATTAATAATAAGGCTGACTAACGGCAAAGTACTGTTTCTGGGCGATTGAATCGTCCTGGACTGAGATTTCTTGAAGACCCATTTTCAGTGAAAGGGTCGTTGCTGGAAATCTACCGTCACTGCACATTGAAATTGGAGACGTGTCATAAGACTGGCAGGATCGATAACATATAGAAACTCTAAGGAATTCTAAAAAGAAGGATCTCGAGTTAACCAGCGACGACTAAACCAGCCGTTTACCCACAGTCCACGATAGAGGAGTTGCCAAGGGTACCTTGGCCGAAGATCAGAGTTGTGCGCCCATTGAGAGAATCGGAGACTTTTCGATACCTTGGGAGGATTTCTTGCGGAGCAACAAGTGGCGACGATGCGAACGGGCGTTTCGGGATAGAAACGCCCAAAATTGGTCACGTCTTTGGCCCAAACGTGACCAAAGGTCGGTGAAGTTCCAAACGTAAACCCGTCGAAAGTACGCGAGAAGTGGTTCTTCGCGATCACCGACAGGAAAATTCATCGTTCATAAAATCTCCCCTCTCGGGAACTAAGCCAAAACGGATTTGGCTGGTTAAACGAAACAGGGCCCATACCATACGAGACATCGCGCCAAGGGGAAATAGGATGCGAAGGGCAGTCATCGGCACCTCGGTGATTCCTCTTGACGGTGCACGAAGGACTAGGTCAGTCCGGTCACGTGGTGACGATTTGGACTTGGCGATGGCGCATCTCGAGTGGTCCGTCAACGATTCGAAGTGATCCCTCGAGCTGCGGCGCCACCTGCCGGGCTTTGGCGGAAAAACTCGGCCCTCGATTGGCTCGTTCTCCCGTGTCCCCGATGCCCCGGAATCGCGAGTGCTCCGGCTGCGACCAAGATATCGCTCGGTGATTCGTTATCTCTCTTTCCCTCGCTGGGAACGAAAGATTAGACTTTTCCGAGGTAGATTAAACGTTCGACGGCCAGTTGGCCGCCATTCGTAAACGCTCGCGGGCACTCGGTCTGCCCCGTTCGGGCCTCTCGGTAGTGCGAACGCTGTGAACGACCGTTGTGATAAACGGGAGATTGCTGGCTCTTTCTCCTTTGTTCGCTCTGTATCTGCGATCGCATCGCCCTCGGACCGCGCCACGCCGTCACGTCGACCACATGGATAAGCTGTGAGGAGGAAGGACGCAGAGATGAAGACCATGCAGCGCGCCTTTAGGTGAGTTCATCCCGAATTGTTATCAACGACGCCTCGCAACGTGACCCGGCTCCGGAACGCTTCTAAAGTGTTTCCGCTAGAACTTCCGAGGATGATCCTTGAATCTATTAGCGCGTTGTAACCCCTTTAAGGTGATATGAAAGTGTGAAATATGCATACCAAAAAGTCAATGCATTTATAAAACTTTTATCAAAAGTGGGTGCACCAAATTATCTAAAACTTTAACACGTTGTTATGGAAGTAAAGTTTGATAAACACTTTCACGTTTTAATGTATGTAGAATGACCTCTTCATATCACCTTGAGGATTTGATCGAATGGGTGATGAGAGGTACTTTTTTGACGTTGGGAGAGTTTCACGGTAAGCGTTTAAATCGTTCCAGGACTCGGTCACGTAACTTTCGGCGTTGGCTCTAAAGATCGGTCGTAGTCTTCTTAAGAAAGTGCCGAGTACTTCTTAATTACAGCTAAGAGTCGCGAAATCTTTGCGAAGGCGTCATCAATGTCGGTGAAAGTAAATTTCGAAAGGCTCGTCACGGCTGATTAGAATCGATTCGATTATTTAAAGGCGATAATTAGGACGTTTCGAAAAAACTCGTTACGGTTATCTGGAGGTGACTTGGTCATTTAATGCGTTGCTCGGATGGACCAATTTTGCGAGTTACCGATGTGGCACGTCATCGAGGAAAGTTAACGCTTCGAAGATGCATTTGTCACTTTGGGTTGATTTATTTCTTCGAATCGTATCCGTTGGAATAAATATCTTTTATCGCTACCGCCTTCATTTTTGCGGCATTTTTAGCGATTATATTTAAAGAGATACTTAAGCTTTCTATAGAATTATATGCTGTAATTATTTTGGCTCGTTGATTATTATTGCATTTAAATTATTGATTAGAAGTCACGAAACCTTTACGATGTTCTCCGATTTTCGAGCACGATCTTGCCTACTGATGGGTTATAAAATCATTGGATGCTCGTGTTTAATTGTTCATTTTCTTTCTTTAAAAGACATTTTTGTCTGAAATGTAATATCGAGGGTAGATATCGGAACGGATAGCCGTTGATAGATTGCGGCGAAAGTCGAAACCTTGATAATGGATATATTATCGTGATTGGCCTTGGTTGATTTATTTATTCGAAGTTGACAATATTTTATAACTGACATGGGCCTTGTTTGCAAGGGGCTCTTATTACGCGAGATGACTAGCTAAATTCGAACACATACCGCGCTTCCCTAAGCCATGTGTTCGAGTAATTTCCGAGAGTAATAAATTACCGAAGTACTGAGACAAAGTATTAAATTGCAAGTGTGCGGAGAAACGAGATTTACTGTTCTTGATATATTTTATGAATCGCTAGGTTTCACTAAATTCCCAGTCTAGGAAATTTAAATCGAAGGTTCTACGTTAATTTCCCTGCAATCGATTTACGGTGAAACTCGATCGCTTTTTCTTTCGATTTTTCTTGACTCTTCTTATGGTACCAAGATTTTGATAAAGCCATTACAGTGTTTCACAGGGTTGCCTCGAAGTTGTTAAACGTCGTTTTAATGCTACATTAATCGATTATTATTTTATACGATTTCAAGAAATATCAGGAAAACTGGATCGAGAGAAATCGGTGCTCACTGAGCTCGATATTTTTATTAATCGATAAGCCGGACGACTGGATGACGTCTTTCCATTTCAGTAGTCTTGAAACGTTAAACAAATAAATCAGGGATTAACTTTTTTGATATGCCATGAGTCGAGGAATGAAAAAATTCGTAGTCAAGGTTAAAGTAGCATGGAAAGGCGATTATTTAACTCTTCGAGGAAAGAAAGTCACCTTAGCGAGGATTGGAGCGTCCTTCTCGATGATCGCTAAAACACGTTCTTATCTAATACCGATAGTAGAATCGCGGGCGTTCCGGATAAGACACGTAGGTGCCGTGAAAACGTTCCCCTCTCTGGGTCATTCATCTTTTTCCGATTGCCGTTCGGATAACGAGTTGTTTGAATCGTTGCCGAACTAATTGCGGATCTCTGCCAGGTTGCGGACACCTGTTTGTCGAATTGAAATGCAAATTAAAGGAGCGGTCACAATGAGCTCGAAGTATTGGGGAAGGCAGGCGTGTTTAGCTGGAGGGAGAAGGGGAGATAATATTTCCTGCCCGATAATGAATCACCACGATAATTCACGGAATATGTCAGTTTACGTTAATAGAGGGTAAATGTACTTTCTTCGAGATTAGCGAGCACTCGTACGAAACGGTCATTGTCAATCCGGAAAACCAAACATTTCTGTTGATTCGTAGAGACAATTAATAGTCATCAAGATAATACGAGAGGTTTACTTTAACTCTCAAAAAAACACCTTTTCTCCTTTTCAATAACAAATGGAAATGAACTATTTTTGTGAAATACGTTAGTACTTTCATTTGATTAAATACTCAAAATGTTGTATATAGTTATTCGAGATAATACGAGAAGTTGACCTTTATTCGCAAGATCTCGACTTGAAATGAAACCAAAGAAGAGAAGAAAGCAGCCGGTCCTTGCTTTAGGTTCCTTTTATCTCCCGTTGACGTATAAAAGGCGAAGTTGTCGTGGACTCGTTTTTGCGGAGTTTGGACGCGCCTCGCATAATTTAGCCAGCGAATCGTCTTAATTGTTGTCGCGCGAGATTCGCTCGGGGATCTCGGCGAGGTATCGCGGACACCTGCGTGGCAAATTGAAATGCAAATTAAAGGAGGATCCACGGAGAGTCTAAAGCCACCGTGTCGGAGATGGCAGGAGGTGTTCGCCCAAAAGGAGGGAAAGAGAAAGAGCCAGAGGGAGGCCGAGGAAAGAGAGAGAAGGGGAGAAAACATTTTCGGCTGACAGAATAAGCGAGCGCTCGCTCTAAAAGCCGTAATGGCTTTCGCGGTGTGAACCTTTTTCTCGCGTTTCTTCTTTGAATTCGAAACGCTCTCGTCGACACAGTACCTTAACGTCCTTCCTTTGGTCCACGTTCCGAAATGTTCCCGGGGACACGTTGTAATGTTCTCCTCTTAGAGAATGCATGTCACGCGTCAATGTAAAGATGTCGATAAGGGGAGAAATCAAATGAAAGGTGTCGAGGTGGTTCGAGATTAATCTTTTATCGAGGGGGCTTATTGGTACTGCAGCGTGCCACTCTTTGGAGTTTTGTTTTACGTTCGAATAACGTTAAAACATTGTTATGGTACAAGTTTGTACTCGAAACGCATCGAAAACTTAACGCGTAAAATCAACGTTTCTTATAAATTTATATTTAATGCAAGGAATGAACCGGGGGTGGTTATCATCAAATGCATGCTTTAAGAGGATATGAAAAGCGCTAAGAAATTTAATCGACTTCGATAAAGAAAAATTCATCTATATCCTTTTTGGTGGTTGCCGTTTGTCGTTTTGTGGCATCCCGTCTACGTTGAGAATTATACGAAGGGTTCTATTTGTCATTTCGGTAAAGCGATGATAAAAAGATCGACGTGCCGGAGTCCCATGAATTCATGACTGTTTATATTTTGACGAACCAACGTCGCCATTTGTGACATTCAGTTGCAACTAAATTTTTGCTTTAAAAACACGTGTTAGCCGCGGGACAAGCCAGCCTTCTCTTGCAATCGTTGGTGAAAGTGTTTACCGCATTTTCCCATCTGACTCTGTAATATTCCATTTCTACGGTATTCTAAATTGTTCGAGCTAGGTCCCGAAACACTTAATTATCGATTCTAAGCCTCCAAGAAGCGTAAAACGTGCACGACCACGCCACGTTGGTTCTAGTCCACATAAGTAAATAAATGTTTGATGAAAAATGAAATTTCATGAGTTTCAGGACCTAGTTTAGGGCCTCTATATTCCCGCGGTAGAAGATTTGAAACGAATCGGTACACCCAATTCGGAGAATAATTTCTCCAACGATTTGGCTTGGCGATTTGGCTCTTTCATATCACCTTAAAATCTAGAATGGTGAAGCCACTTACTTACTTACTAAGAACTCTATAGTTGTTTTATACGTTTGCAAGTGAACGGCAATACTATCGGAGGAAGACTTAATCTGCAGTCGAGAGAGTGGAGGGAAAAAAAAAAAGATAGAAAGCAGAGATGAGCAATCGTTTGACCGAAGGGCCAGACAAGGCCATCTAGCCCCTCTTGCCAGGGGAAAAAGCTTAAGCTCGTTACTCGAGTAGGCACGAGTGGTTTGCGCGTCTCGAATGATTGTGCGATTTGCTTTTCCCGACTTTATGGCGTTTAATCTGACTTCAGCCCTTCTTGTCTCCAGTCATGATTATTGCCATGGGTGCGCGCACAGCGCATTAAATTTAATGCCTGTCCATGAAAGTCTGAATAAGTTCTCCTTTTCACTTCTTCTTTTTTTTTCCTTTTTCTCTCGAGGAAGGGCGAAAGAAGACGTCTCATCGTCCAGTGATCATAAATCATGTCGTAGCGACGAGAAAAAAACTTTCAGATTCTCTTTAAAAATAGAAGAGTTCCTCGAGATGCAAATGTCTTCGTCGAGAAGATGCGCTAGATTAAAAAGTCATGTCACTTTTATCATTTAAGGGAGTTGGAAGCTGGATACGTAGCTATACGTAACATGTTCAGAAGAGATGCATAACTTTGTACCGAATTTAAATAATGTCATATGGTGGATTACATCGTGTTTTCAAATGATCAGCAGGAATACGGATATTAATTCCTTTAGTGAGTAGTGAGAATTAATTCCTTTGGTTAGACTGTCAGTCGATATTCGATCCATTCCTCCTCTATTTTCATAAACATTCCTTTATTTTGTTCTTTGGCCTTCGAACGATCACTTTTTTTTTATTCATTATTTTTTCATTCGTATTCGATCGATGGGTCGATATCTTTCGATCGTCGATTATCGACGGTATTCGTTGGACGAATCAAGGGACTAATTTCAAGGAGGAAAGTCGTCTAAGGGACCGAGAGACTCCCTTCGGAGCTGTCACCGATCCTCCACTTAATCAAGACA